GTTTAAACGGTCACTGCACTGAAGGACTAATCTTCACTATCTAATTTCCGTGGCAATTTTTATTATTTAAGTATTCAATTTTTTATCGTGCAATATTATTTAAATAATTAAACGATAATGTATATGAATATTTAATTAATAAAAATTGCCACGAAAATTAGGTAATGAATAGGTACTAGTCCGAGAATTACCGTAAACTCTTCCGCAGGACTATTATATTTCGCGATCTCATTGTCCTGGGTTCAGTTTCCGGTAGGATCAATTTGGGAATCAATTTCTAAATTTCTTCTGCTCTGGGTGTTCTTGATAGTAGCTCGAAATCAATTCCTTTGCTCTGGTACTCGTAGTAGAGTGTATAGGTAATAATTAACGTGGTTGTCTGGCACATTTGTTTCATGCTTTCTTATTGTATAATGCTTGTCATCGTGATGAAAGGACTTGTCAATTGGCGTAAGATATTCGCCGATTGTTGCCCAGGGTACGCTAGACGTATAGAAAAGGGAACGTTGTATGGGGAGGCTCCATTTAAGCATCCTTTTTCATTCAACAACGTTTCAAAATTAAATATAAAATGGCTTTGTTAAAAATCAGATTGCTGCGACGTGTTTGAATCACGGTTGCTGGATAGATCTCATTTTAAAAACTTTTTCCAAACTAAAATGGACATACTTATTCACATTCACTCACAATTTCCCATAACAGATAAATGCGTCCACACGCACTCATAAAACACACCTTACACACGCAGAGAGAGAGAGACACACTGAGAGCCGTATTCCAGAACTCTACTCAATGCTCAAATCAGGATTTGAGTATGGTTTAAAGCACTCGAAATCATACTCAAGTCCCTGCCATTAGAGTCATATTTCCAATGCTTGAAATCATACTCAGATCCTGACTTGAGCATTGAGTACAAACACATACATGCACACGTGTACATGCCACTAATACATACCTTTTTTTAAATTTCATATTGTTTAGTATTGTATGTTTTTCTTTTAATTGCTATACCTCCTTCTATTACCGTATGTCCCGTTCTAGATCGCAGGGAAAGAGGGAATGGCTGAAAATCAGTATTGAGTAAGAATTACGGAGCTGAATCTTTTGCCTCAGACCTCTATATCAGATGTTTGTACATTATATTTTTGTATCGTTATTGAGGCAATAAATATTTTTATTATTATTATTTCATATCTAACATTGCCCCAAGCTACCGTAGGCTATCAATGATTGAAAGTACTCCGAATACATTGAGTTCTATACCGCATTGGAAACAACAGTACATAGTTCTCTACACAACGCTACCAAGTATCGCAGAGGCTAACAACGTGCTCTTCAGGTTAAATTGGAGTCTATTGCGAGGTACGTCGTACCCTGATACTGGAGAGGTGATAGTAGGCTATCTTGCAGACTTCCTTTCTGACAATAACACTTGGTTAGACTTCGACATCTTAAATGCATATGTAAATAACCACTTACTCGTACACAACTGATTGTACGTTTGAGCACACACCACGACAATTGTGTCGTCTATAGAAGAAAAATTCTAGGCTATCTTATGAAAAATGTATCAAATTCTTAATAACTCTTAGAATTTGGTATTCCCTAAGGATGATCCTTGAGGGATAGCAATCCGATGTCAATCATTAGCCTTCTGTTGGAAAAATAAATATTTCTTGACAAATAGAAGATAAAGGTAAGGCGGTATCCCCAGGCATTTCTTATTTATTAGCATTCTTATTATCATCGACCGTTCTTATAAGATTACAAAACATTCATACTACTTGTGCTTTCATAGAGATTGGGTGTGCAACATCGATACTGGAAATCGATATCGATAAGCATAAAAAAATTTTGAAGAAATGTTTTGTACACATAGAATTCTCTTTTTTTAACCGACTTAAAAAAAGGAGGAGGTTCTCAATTCGCCTGTAAGTTTTTTTGTATATATGTTACGCGATAACTCTGAATATACACGATACGGCATTTGAGAACCGATTTTGATGATTCTTTTTTTGTAGGAAAATGGGTACCTCAGTATTCGTCCCATTTAGATTTAAAGGAAATATTTCACCAGTAACACTAGGAAACTAGGGGACGCATACGGTTCGTGTACTTTCTGGTAACCGATTTCAATAAAACATAGCAAATACTTAGATGTAGGTAATTAAAAAAATATATTGGTATATGTAATATATGTACATATTGAATACAGCGGTTTTCTTGTAAAATTTCAAGGTAAGTTTGTGTTCTTATCCATAGTGAAAATTTTTAGGTGTCGTGTTTTCACACCATATAGTAATCAGTGTATGTATACCCTCAATTTTACTATATATTTTTTCCAAACTGATTAATTCAACACTTTCACAGGTTTGCGGAATGAACTAAGTCATTTGAGGTTGTATTAGACCAGAGGTTCCCAGACTTTATTTTCATTGACCCCGTTCAAAATTTTGCTGGATCTGGTGGACCCCCTGCAGCTACATTTCTACCATATTCCATGTCCAAATTATTTTTTGTCACGCCAACGTAGACTCCCATTGAGTCTTCCGTAGACCCCTGGGGGTCCACCTGGATCACTTTGGGAACTAAGGTATTAGACTCACAATGAAATACGCTTAAATGCATTCGTTGAATAAACAGTCTACCGCTTCCCAACATTATTAATATATTTTTAGAATTTCCGATTTCTGAGCAACATGTGACCCTTAGGTTTTCGCTTGCCTGCTAGAGGGCGCCAGGGTATTGATTGTACCCGGGCGTTACATGGGCTAGCGCCACCTGTACCGGCGACGTTGTTGTTAGTGGCACGGCTTCATTATTCCACAAAGTCTGTGGATATTGTGGAGTACATACGGGTGAAAGTCAGTGCTACCCTGAGGACCAGGACCCTTACAATCTGAGCCCCAGAGTGTCTTTCAGAGATAATAATAATAATAATAATAATAATAATAATAATAAATAACGCACACACTCAACATAGCCCCGCACTAGGGAAACCCTGTGTCGCGGGTGCCATGGACACACACATAGACAACCACAAATTACACCCAAACTCACGAGAGAAATAAATGTAGGCCATACAAACATTTCTCCCGGCCCGGGAATCGAACCTGGGACCTCTGCGTGGCAGTCCGGCATGGTAACCGTTCGGCCACGGAGGCAGTTAAAGAGAGATAAGTTCAAAGAGATTATAATTCTTACATTCCTTGGAGTATGGGCCGGGCACTGGTGTGGAACGCCACATGTGCTGACACACTTGCCCCATCGCATCTCCAGCGCACCAATATGAGGGCTGGTTCCGCAGCTGAGCTGGCGGAAAGAATAAGAAGTAATAAGTACCAGGATCTCGGGTTCGACTACCTATTTAGAGCCTTTGGAGTCGAAACCCTTGGCCCGTAGTGTCCCAGTGCCCTTCATTTGTACAAAATTTTATAGAAAAAAATAATAGACTGCCTGAGAAACCCAAGGGCCGGTAGCAACCTTGCCCAACGCATTAGCATAGCAATACAAAGTTTTTGTTTCACTGTAGTTTTATGTCTCGCAAATGGCAAAGTTTGAATATCATCCAGAATCTTATTATAGAAGCCTATACATTGCCCCTTAAATGAATTTGGGACTTTATGAAGACGACTATCAAAAACAGCTACTAATGCTATGTCGTTACTATTTTTCATAAAAAAATTAATATTTTTTTTAACGTGATGTTAGTGTAACAATATAATCCCAGTACAGAGTACTAAAAAACCGACCTCAAAAGTACATGGAATTACGTCTATTTGCCAAGTTTTATTGAAATATCCCCTAGTTCGCCACTATACAGAACTTGACACAGGAGATAATAGAAATCGATTCTCACTACTCAAAGTATATTGAGAGAGAAAATCGCCTTGAATTCGAGAATAGCAAAATTAACCATTAAAATCTCCTTTAGTAAAATTTAGGCGCTATTTATAAAAATGAATCTTCATACGTGAGCAGCCACCCTTTCAGGTGGATGATTTTCTTCAAAATGAAATGGGACCACTATGGAGGTACCCTATTTCCAACAAAAAAGAATCATGAAAATCGGTGCACAAATACCGGAGTTATCGCGTAACATACATAAAAAAACATACAGTCTAATTGAGAATCTCTTCCTTTTTTGAAGTCGGTTAAAATAAAAAGTTACCTAAGTTCTCTACAACGCTCTGGTGCCGGCTCTTTACAATCCTTCTTTCTAATTTTTGTTTTTAATTATGATTTGCGAATAAAATAGACACAATGAATCACAATTTATAGAACATTCGACGTTACAAAGAGCACAAATATATAAGCGGTATTTTATAACTTGTTCCCACATTATACTTATATGTAAAAGAAACCTTCATGAATAGCAAATCCTTGACGGGGTAATCGAATTTGAGAGAGCCCTTTGATTGATACAGAGTCTTATAACAACGACGTTTACAATTGCTTAGAAATCTAAAGATCTGTCTCGCGGTTGAGTGTGAACGGACGTGTTTTCCTGTAAAGACTCTTCACGAGTGCGTAAGCAGTGGATAGAGTCATTACTTGTAGAGATCGTAACCCTCGGGGTATCTCGTAGAGCGTGATGGAGGAGCTAAATGATAGTCGTGAAGGAGCTGGATACATTTTTAGCAGCAGTAGAGCTCTTTATGAAAGAGTTCGGACAGGGTAGTACTGCCACCTTACATATTTCTGCCGCCAAGCAGTAATGACAGCATTACTGTGTTCCGGTTTTGAAGGGTAAAATTAAAAGCACATGGGACTTATCAACTTATGTCTCCCAAGATGGCAGCAGTCATCGCAAGTTCACCTTTATTCAATTTCAAAAGTATTATTTCTTCAATAAAATATTTCGAACAGTACATAAAAACGCAAGTTGAATACATTATACTTATGGGTGTATTATTATTATTGGTACACTTTGGAAAAAAAATACTTTTCTTGAAAAAATTTTTTTAAGAAAATCCCTAATTTCAAATATTTTGTTCCAGATCTTCTCGGCCAAAACAGCAGTAACGACATATTAGCTTTTCGAGCTGTGTTGAAACTGACGCCTTCATTTCCGACCAACCCCCATTACCCGTAAGTATTAACGTTTTTTGTGGATATTTTGTGATTGGTAAACAATACTGAATGTGTTCGGTACGGCTGCACTCAACAACGTGTGAAGTGGTTTGTAATCGCGTGATAATTACCTACTGTGCACTGCTGGTTACGTTCGTTAATAAGTGAAATGTATTTGTATATAATATTAACTCTGAGTTAAAGTGCTAATCACTATGTGCAATACTTGTTTTTTGTTAAATTTCATGTAAATTCCTGTTATAATTAAATATTTTAAATTAAGACAGGAGAGAGAGGTGAAGTAGGTTTCGCTTGCTAGAGACTAATCGCTGCTTGTCGAAAATATAATAGTGACTCAATCCAAAATAGTTTTTAGAGCACTTATTCAAGTTCGTCCAGGGAAGTACTGCCACTTTACAAATTTCTGCCGCCAAGTAATAACGTGAGCTTTGCTGCGTTCCGGTTTAGAAGGGTAAGGCTGCTGGTGAAATTAGGGACACGTGGGACTTGGCAACTTATGCCTCAAGGTGACAGGCGCAGTGACAGTGCCCGTCAGATTTCAGCGCTTTAAAGCTTTGAGCGGCACTGCAACTGTTATGGATAGGCGCTATGCTTACCACAAGGCGCACGACTTATTTATTCCGTCAGTTTGGTCAGTTAAATGAAATAGTACATTATTGCAGAGCCCAGGAAGTAAAGGATTGCTGGACAAGTATGATTACAAGGACGAGCGCCAATGAGGCCTTGTATTAATACGAGTCAAGCAATTCCCGTTCTCGCCACACCGAGGCGATTATTCTCATTTACATAGGGCGCACTATAAGCTTCCGGAGCTGGACATTTAATTAAAAAGTAATTACAATATACCTAGTCAGGTCATAAATTCTGTCACATGTTTAATATAAAATCATTGAAACAAGTTTATTCATTATGTAACCATTTATACACCAAAATGAACTTAACAAAACATAGATTCTTATGACACTAAAGTTTATTAAAAATGACCTCCGTGATTTTGAATACAGGCTTTCAATCTGCGCGGCCAGTTGTCTATCGCAGCACGAACGAGGTCCATGTCAATATCGGCGGCTGCCTTAATCAAGGATGTCTTGAGTGACTCCAAAGTGGGATGAGGCTTTGAGCACGCCTTTTCCTCCAAGTGTTGCCATATCTTGTAATCTAACGGATTCAAATCTGGACTGGAGGAGGGCCAGTCTTCGTGCCGGATGAAGTCGATTTCACGCGCCGCCAGCCAGTCTCGTGTACTCTTCGCTCTTTGAGCTGGCGCCGAATCTTGTTGGAATACCCAGTGCCTGTTATTGAACATGGTATGAGAAACAGGTTCCACAAGGTTCGTCAGGACTGTATTTTGATACACAACTGCATTCGTTTTTACACCTTTCTCACAAAAATGTACCTCTGTTAAGCCCCAATAAGAAACTCCCAACCATACCATGAGCGAGGATGGAAAATGACCTCGTTGGACACGCGGAATACGGTTGCTCGCTTCTTCACTACTGTGTGCGTACACCTTATCATTTTGTTTGTTGTAGCTCTCTTATACGGTAAAATATTTTTCATCTGAAAAAAGAATTTCCCGATATTTTTTTCCCGCGTACCGCTTCAACAAAGCGCGGCATCTCTTCAGTCTCAGGTCCATTAGACGAGCATTCAAACGATGTCCTGTTTTTCTTCGTTATGCCCGAAGCCCTAAGTCTTCATTTATAACACCCTTTTCACCGTGGTTCTGCTTAACCCCATCTGAAGGGCCAACAGTTTCTGCTTACGTTTGGGATTTCTTTGAATTCGCGCCTTCACAGCTTTTATCACTGCTGGAGTCCTAACAGACCGAGGGCGACCACTTCTTGCCCTGTCATCTTCACTAGTCTTCATTGTATCGTTTGATGGTACGATAAACGAATCTTTTGGTTATATTCAAATTGTTCAGTATGTCAAAAATTTGAATTGGCGCGTAACCGCAACGATGCAACGCACTAACTGCAACACGGTCTTCTTTAAGCGTCCACTCCATATTTAATAATCTCAGTACAGAGTACTAAAAAAACCGACCTCAAAAGTACGTGGAACTACGTCTATTTGTTAAGTTTCATTGAAATATCCCCTAGTTCGCCACTATACAGGACTTGATACTGGAGATAATAAAAATAGGTTCTCACTACGACACTACTCAAAGTATATCGAGAGAAAAACGCCTTGAATTGGAGAAATAGCAAACTCAACTAAATAATTGCTAAAAGTAATTGCTCCTAAATTATAGTTAGGCGATATTTATAAAAATGAATCTTCATGCGTGAAAAGCCACCCTTTGAGGTGGATGATTTTCTTCAAAATACCACTATGGAAATACCCCCTTTCCAACAAAAAAAGAATCATGAAAATCGGTTCACAAATACCGGAGTTATCGCGTAACATACATACAAAAAAAAAAAAGAAAAAAAAAAGAACATACAGTCGAATTGAGAACCTCCTCCTTTTTTGAAGTCGGTTAAAAATGAGTAAAATTCTAAAAAGTATACATTTTTATTTTCATGAACAATTCGAAATTCGAATTCAATAAACATTTTTGTGGCCAGCATTCTAAAAGAAAAGTTTTTACTGTGTGACAATACTTATGACCTGACTGTGTATAATATAAAATACAACAATGTAAAATACAGTTTGTTTCATCTGACTGTCACTTGCTTTTACATTGTGGCGTCATTTTAGAAAATGGTTGTCTACTCTACCATACATTTAACTAACCACGATAATGCCAGTTCTCACGCGACCAGACAGACAATTGAATTTTTGAAGGTGAGCAATGTTGACCTTATAAGCCATCCCGCGTGCAGTCTCGACCTGGCATCTTGTGACTTTTACTTATTTCCAAAAATTAAAAACCAGTTACGCGGTCAACATCACCTGAAGAGGCTGTCGAAGAGTATGAAAAATATGTTTCAGATATTGTCACGGAGGAGTGGCATAAATGTTTTCAAAATTTGTTGATTCGTATGAAAAAGTGCATTAACGCTAACGGAGAATATTTTGAAAACCAATAAATTAATTTCTGACCATTTATAGTATTTTTTCTTATTCATTCTGGAAACTTATAGTGCGCCACACGTTTCAAAGTTTTATAAAAATTTGACTCTTCAAAATGGAGCGAACAAACGAAGACGGTATTTGATCCAATGTTTGTGTTCGGCAGTCCTATAATTTCCAACCGTTCTTTCTTTCTTTTTCATTTGTTAGTAATCTTTAAAAATAAAAATAATAATAATGAAAAAATAAAAACCTCGTAGTAAATTGTTTTAATGACAGAATATCGATAATATGTCTGCTTACAAGAACAACACTGTCTCAAAATAATCGTTGTCAACAATCATCAAAATATACTAACAATCAGGCAATCTAAAGTAACGAAAGCAAAATGCTTCGACTTTTGTATAAACTACATAAAAGAGTCTAATTACGTGAGATATTTTGGGCTATTGTACTATTTATAAACAGAAAATAACACATGCCGGTGTAATGTATGTACCATTCGGTTGATTTCCGATTTTCTCCTGCCGCGCCCCTTAATGTCGGAGCGACGCATTTTTATCAATACTTAATTGTACTCACTGTCAATATTTTTGTCTATTTCATTACAATTAATACGAATAATTCACTAAAACATTTAGCGAAACATTGGTTTTGACCTTTGATATACTTCCCCTACCGTATCAACCGTATCCGGTTGTCAAAGTTTACGCCAAAAATGGCAAAGCATCTAAGATAACGTTACGTATTTTCGATTCCCATGTTTGACACAAATCAATGTAATGCTATCTCTTTTGGGCTACGTCGGCACGCAGTAGTTAAACAAAGACACATAATCTCAGTACAGAGTACTAAAAAACCGACCTCAAAAGTACGTGGAATTACATTTATTGGCCAAGTTTTTTAGAAATCGGTTACCGGAAAGTGCGCAAACCCGAATTCATCCCCTAGTTCGTCACTATACGGAACTTGACACAGGAGATAATAAAAATCTGCTCTCACTACTCAAAGTATATTGAGAGAGAAAAACGCCTTGAATCGGAGAATAGCAAAATCAATCATTAAAATAATTGCTCCTTATAATAAAATGTAGGTGTTATTTATAAAAATGAATATTCATGCGTAAACTGCCACTCTTAGAGGTGGATGAGTTCCTTCAAATTGAAATGGGACCACTATGGAGGTATCCTCTTTCCAACAAAAAAAGAATCATCAAAATCGGTTCACAAATACCGGAGTTATCGCGTAACATACATACAAAAAAACATACAGTCGAATTAAGAACCTTTTTTTGAAGTCGGTTAAAAATGTTTATGTTTTCAACGTCGAAATGCATCATATACATATAACGTCTGATTTATATATGTCGATATAACATGTTTGGTTTCCATAGTCTAAGGTTTTGTTAACAATACATAACACCATTACAATTGTTAGACTAAAGTACAGGAGTACAAATAGTAGTTTATGTGACTGTTACATAATCAAAGGTGTTAAAAGACGCGACATGCGAGTTTCATAAAAACATCTCACGAGTGTTTTAATGCCTAATTATGTGCAGTTACATACACTGCTTTATCTACACACATATTATAAAGCTCTCTGCGATGTGTTCAGGAACCGCATGTTACGTCTGGCGAAATCAGGGCGAAATGGCGGCAAATAAAAAACTTTTCTCACGCATGTCACACAACCGTAGGTTCTATTTTTAATTCATATACAAATTAGAATCAGCCCCAACTATCATATCGTTCGATATCATAAAATTGTTTGCTATTGACATTTCATTCCGAATAAAACTTCATCTCGACTGATATTAGAATTGAGGTCCAATCAAACTGTTTTATTTTTCAGAGATGTTCGAAATTTGAATGTAATATTAATTTTTTTTTAATTTATTAAGGCTTTGGCAAAGCCATCAGCCTAAACATGAAGTTTAAATATGTTTCTGTAAATATGGCCGCCACAAAGAGGACAGGCAATTTGAGGCAGCGTGCTTGGATTGACTCGGGATTCCTTAAAACTTAGTTCGAGATTCGTATAATTTCGCGTTTTAATCTTCGATTAAGGCACAATAGCACTATCCTATTCCACTTTAAACTAGATTTCACAAAATAATTGAAAGTCAAAATAAAAACGACACTTTTTCCCTCCAAAAGGTCCAGAGCGAATCATGTAATAATAACATCGAATTCGATGTTAGTATGAAGCAATAATAACATTTTCACAGATAAGAAATTTGTTCTAACAAAACAGTTTACCTTTATGCCGGTCGTAATTAGCGGTTTTTGAACACATTATAGAGAGTTTATGATATGTGAAACCAGGGTTTCTTGACCTGTCGTCCATGGCCCCTAAGGGGTCCGTATAATGAACGCTGGGGGTCCGTGGCGAGCGTACCTAACATAACAAATGCATTAGTATAAAAATTGGTATACAATGTGTTGTGGTGAAACAGGTAACCGTGCGCGTGACCTGTTTGAATTGCAACCCGCGAGCCTTTCTTCTTCATCTTTTCAGAAAGGGTCCGTTGGCTCTTTGAAATTTTGAGAGGGGTCCATGACTAGAAAAAGGCTAAAAAACCCTGCTCTGGACGGTGCTAGCTTTGTGCGGCAGTTTGAATTTACTACCTTACTATAAAATGTAGATCTAAAAATGTCAGATAGTACAACAAAAAGTTAACAGGCATGGAGCAAAAGTTGTTGTTTATGATGTTAGGACCTCCTTCATCATCATTCCACCTTTTTATCATCCTCTTTACTGGTTCCTGGCCACTTACTTTTAAACATTTGAATTGTTCTCGAATTCTTTTTCCTTCCAATATTCTTATGTTGGCTCGTCCCATCATCAGTCCCATCAAAATTCCCGGAGTAATAGTTAAACTGTTTTTAAAACATTGGATACGTATATAGGCCTTCTTGGGGCTAGCTACTAGACTGTATAGTTTAGAAGTACATAGTAGGGGTGTTTTATATCTTTTGTACCTTTTTATATCATTGTATTATTATTTTTTTATAATATCAAGACAAATTGTGTACCTGGTGGTAAGCTTTAAATCGCAAGAATCTGAGGGACACTGCCACTGCGCCTGTCACCCCAGCACCCTTACCCTTCAAAACCGGAACGCAGTGCTCACATTACTGCTTGGTGGCAGAAATAGGTAAGGCAGTACTTCCCTGGACGAACTCTTTCACAAGGAACTATACTGCTACCCAAGTAACCCTCCGGGCTTATCGGGATTTTCGATTATGTTTTAAAACAATGAAAACACAAATTCGTAACTAATAATATAATCGTATCGTGATTAATAATGCTAACTAAATGCTAAGAACTCGGGTAAGTACGTGATTATAGTCCAGTGACGGCATCCGCAAGATGGTGTAGGTAACGTTTGGGTGGCGAAGGGCGTTTGAGGCGCGCGTGTGCGAGCAGTGCACCGTACCAACTAAAATAACAATGCATTTTAAAATATTAATGTTGTTGATTTGTTTTTAATTATAATTCAAGACGTTGATTTATCTCATTGAAGCTGTGAATTCCATAAATAACAAAAATAATCTACAAAAAATTAATTCGATGTAATAGTTATAATAAACTAGTGGAGTAATTTCACAAAAAATAATTGAATATCAATTCAATAAAAATTTAATCAATACAGTGAATAGCGACATCTCTCGCCAGGACTGGTAGCTGTAAAGGTACTAACTTGGTGATAAATCTGTCATAGATTTCTCATAGATGCCGCTACGACTAAAAAGTCGTTGAAAGACCAAGTACAAAGACACGACGCAAGCACATAGAAAAATTCGTGAGGTCCGTTGGTTCGTTCCGTGGCTTAGTTGGTATAGCGTCTGGCACGGTATGCAAGAAGACGTCGGTTCGAATCCGACCGGATCGAAGGAATTTTTTCTGAGTGTTCGATCTTTGTATTAATAGTTATATAGAAAGGTATCCGAAAAAAACCGGTTTTCAAAATCACTCTGTTTTTGCATTCTCTAGCCACTGTCCTGTGAGATTGTTAGTCTTTTACAAAATAAACTTAACTTAACTGCCTCTGTGGCCGAACGGTTACCACGCCGGACTGCCACGCAGAGGTCCCAGGTTCGATTTCCGGGCCGGGAGAAATATTTGTATGGCCTACATTTATTTCTCTCGTGAGCTTGAGTGTAATTTGCGGTTGTCTGTGTGTGTGTCCATGGCACCCGCGATACAGGGTTTCCTTAGTGCGGGGCTATGTCATTACCTCTAAATTATTAATAAATTACATATTTAGTCAGTCGTGACCATGGAACATGCAAAGAGCCCAAAATTTATTTGAAAGCACAAAAATACTCATACTATAATTACATACGTACATATTAACTACGTAATACGTATTTCAGAGAAGTAAAATCACACGAGCCCAAACTAGAGAATTCCCTATACCCTATGGTCTTATAACATGTAACGTTCATAGTAATTGACTTTGAAGTTTCTCGCGCATCCATAGCTTTGCCAGGGCATAGATTATGATTTTGTAGAATATAATGATTATTTCGAAAAGTAGGTAAGAATTAAAACACAATGCTTATATAATTAAAACAAAATATTTTGTAATTAAACAAACGTGAAAATGATTTTAACATTACTATTTTTTTTTATAATATTAAGCGACGATAAAATCGTGCGCCTGATGGTAAGCTTCACGCGTATCCATAAAGATTGCAATGGCAGTCAGTGCTTTAAATCGTAAAGATCTGAGGGGCACTGCCACTGCACCCATCACCCTGAGACATACGTTGACAAGTCCTATGTGCCTGTAATTTCACCCTTATTCTTCAAAACCGGAGCACAGTAATGCTGACATTACTTCTTGGCGGCAGAAATAGGTTAGGTGGTTGTTAGCGCCTTTTACCGCATGTACCATGGTGAGTGCTCTGAAGAGCTGTTCAACCTCATCCCCCCTTCCCCGTTCCTGCTCAGAAGCACGCGTGCTGGCCTTCGTAGTCACCGTTTCACTACCTGCCGCATTCCATCGCGTACTAAAAGGTTCGGTGGCTCCTTTCTCTGCCGCACGGTTGACAAATGGAACTCCCTTCCGGCACATGTCTTCCCTCCCTCTTATGATATGGGGTCCTTGAAACGAGGCGTGAAGAGGCATATTATAGGCAGACAGGGTGGAGGTGGCTAGTGCAGTGAGGGTTTCATCGCTGCACTAGGTTCCTTCGCGTTTGGATACCACTTTCCACTTAACATCAGGTGGAGTGGAGTCATTTGCCTGTCATGTATAAAAAAAAAAAAGTACTACAGAAATAGGTTAGGTGGCAGTACTACCCTGGACGAACTCATTCACAAGGAGTTCTACAGCACTATTTCTAAGGTAATAGATTTGTGTGGAGTTTTGACTTTTGTCTTCTATATGTATAAAGCAAATAATATAGACAGGACAAAGAAAAACACAGAACGCGTTATTGATATCTTGTTCGTATTGCACATATATCTGCACACATAATCTTTAAAATCAATGCCACAAGGTCTTAGAGATTTAAAGCTCTAAGTTGTATTGCAACTTTTGTGGGTAGGCGTGATGTTTACCACCAACCACCATAAGCACGATTTGTTGATCCCGTCGTTTAATAATAAAAAAAAAATATTTAAGCAAATTAAAATTTTCTCTATTGTAACTACTTTGATAATTTTATACCTGTACTACGTATAAGTAACAATTATTATTTGTCCTAACAGGGTTCTGTGTCAGATGATTCGGGAGCTTTCAGCGGCACCGCCTTTCTGCGTTCCCAATTATCATAAGATCTTTGACGACACTTCGGTAAGTTTAATAACCAATTACTTAACGCTCGGAGTAACTAAGCTGTATTGCAGAATATCAACAAATGTATTTCATAGTCTTCTGTATGCCTCTGTAGTCTCTTTTTTATTGCATAAATGTTCGTTTCCTAAATTGGCCAATACCATAATTGAAATAGAAGGAAGCAATTGTGGGGCTGTATATCACTTTTTAACCGATTTCAAAAACGGAGGCAGTTCTCAATTCGACTCAATTTTTTTTTGTATAGTATAGTTAGGCGATGATTTCGTCATCTGTGAATCAATTTTGATTTTCCTTTGTTGGAAACAGGTTACCTCAACATTGGTCCCATTTAAATTTGAAAAAATATTCCACCTCTAAGGGTGGCAAACTAGGGGATAGTTAGAATAGAAACTTGGCAAATAGATGTAATTCCACAAACTTTTGAGGTCAGATTTTTTTTTTGTATAAAGGTTGTGGTTATGTGTATAATAATTATAATCAATTTATATAATAACCGCCTCATTTATTATTGATGATGATAGCTTTAAAAATATATATTGTTAAAATTATTATTATTGTTGTTAAATTGTATATAATTGTATATGTAATAAAAGATATATCGATCTTCCATTAATTAACGATGCCCATTGACTTACAATTATATGAACGTCGGGTCCGCGCTAAAAAGTGTCCGAACTTATAGGGCGTTAAAATCGTATACAGAGCGTCATTCACGCTCTAGTCTTCGTTTGTTCGACTGACAGCGAAGCAAGCAAAATTAGACAGTACTGCGATGACATTACAATTTAAATTCAACGTTTTAGCTTTTTCATATTCTTTGACATGTCACTACGTTTAAATAGGTTGACTTGGGACATTTTTTTCGTGGTTTTTGTATTAGACCCGTCGTCCATTTATTTGTAAGTCAATGACGATACCATTCATTAATGCCGGCTGGCCGAGCTCCTGGTATGGCGCAACCCGTAGCCTAATAAAAGCAAAAAATATTCATATATATATATATATATATGAATATTATATATTATATATTATAGTAATGAATATTTTTTGTATCGCAAGCTTGCTTTTTACAATATAAATAAAATATTTTTATTTTTTAATCTTTATTTATTACCCCATTATAAAAACAATATGTCAAGAAAACACTTATTAAAATCCAGACAGATAACTCAAAATACTACCTAACCAATATTTGGTAAACAAAATCTTCGCAGTACTACCATGTTGACTCCGACAAAACGGATTGAAACCACCCAACATTAAATGTACAGAAACCAACCTGTGCAACTAACCGTACCCTGATAGGTTCCGTTCAAACACACTCCATGAACAAATGATGTCTAGAAGTGCTCATATTACTGCTTGACGTCACAAATATGTAAGTACTTTCTTGGACGAACTCTTTCACAAGGAGCACTACTGCTACATATTGTTAATGTGATTTTAAATAAAAAAATACTAATTTAAACCTTAAATGTACGTTCTAACAGTTTAAATTTCTATACCGCCGTCCACTAACTAAAACTCGTCTTAGTGAGAAATGAGAGGGTACTTCCATAGTGGTCCCATTTCATTTTGAAGGAAATCATCCACCTCTAAAGGTGGCTGTTCACGCATGTTGATTCATTTCTGTAAATAGCGCCTAAATTTTCTAAAGGAGCAATTATTTTAATGGTTGCTTTTGCTATTTCTCCAATTCAAGGCGTTTTTCTCTCAATATACTTTGAGTAGTGAGAACCGATTTTTATTATCTCCAGTGTCAAGTCCTGTATAGTGGCGAATTTGAAGATATTTCAATAAAACTTAGCAAATACTTAGACGTAATTTCACGTCTTTTTGAGGTCGGTTTTTTTAGTACCTACTCTGTACTGAGATTATAGAACTTGTGAACTTGTTTATTACACCCCGTATAATCCTATGGGTAGATAGTCTGCCCCTGCAATAAACTTGAGGCCTTTGTAATTTGCGTACGTATTTAGTATAGTATACGTAGTACGTACGTACGTAACGTACACATACGCCATTGCAATTTAGTAAATAAGAAAAAGCATTTACGTAGCTGTGTGGGTAACTTCGGTGTATGACCTAGATAGAGTTCGAAGATAAGCAGTGGATAAATAAATAATCCGGTGGATAGGTCATGGTTATTCCCCAGGCACAGCATGAGTACCTACTAGGCTTCACGTTGCTTCACGTAGGTGGATTTTAAATTCATTTGGAATTACGCTAGGGACTGCTGCAATACACTAATAGAAAATAGTAGGTACTGTTGAGGATACGACACTAGGATCGCCGTATTTGTGAGAATTGAGCATTGAGACTTTAATAATACATCACAAAATCACATTGAATTTGATTTGTTCCGTACAAACACAGTCAGGCGGGAAATGACCTGACATGGTGTAATTAAAATCAGTTTTGATTTGACTGTACACCACCAACCATTCACCATCTAGTGATTTCTAGAAAAATCAAGTAAATTACAAGTTAAATACGAAATGAATAATTTAAAAAAACGCACACACTCATAGCCCCGCACTAGTGCGCCGTGTAGGCCGTACGTAAATATTTCTCCTGAAATCGAACCCGGGACCTCTGCGAGGCAGTCCAGCATGGTAACTATTTGGCCTCGGAGGCAGTTAAATAAAGAAGAATACAAAAATAACATGTAGTTACACCAACTTGACTCCTTCATAATGCTGATATTATCAATTAGGTAAATGTAGCTGTTTATAATAACAAAAGAAAAACACGGAAAAGAAGAAAAGTATTTCAGATATCTAAAGGGGATATGTTGCTAGTCTACTGAGCACGATGTCCTCGGGTACGGCCTTCAATTAAACTTTTCCGCCTTAATTAGGAGAGTTATAAATAGAAATTTCGTATTAATGGTATTTATATATAATTTGGATTGAGGTTTTGAAGAACGATATAACTAAATAAAAAATAACTTTCGTAGATGGCGCTACGGCTAAAAAGTCGTTGAAAAACCAAATACAAAGACACAACAACAAGCACATAGAAAAATTCATGAGGGGTTCGTTCCGTAACTTAGTTGGTATAGCGTCTGTCACGGTATGCTAGAAGACGTCTATATCGTCTGTATCGAAGGAATTTTTTTTGAGTGTTCGATTTTTGTATTAATAATTATAACAATACTTAAAAACTAATAGAAAATACAATTTAGTGATGTGGACAAAAAGGTTAAAATCTCAGAATTGTAACAAGTGTAGCTGTACATAAGTACATAATAATATGCGGAGTGTACATCAAGTAATAACTTACCTTAAATAATAAATACGAGTAGGTACTAAACACCCGAATACGCTGTCTTGTATCGCATTAGAAGTTCTCTTGAAACTAATTTGTATATTATATAACAAGACAATCTGATTATATATTGTCCATCGGTTTTTTACTTAAATGCTATTTTCCTTGATTTTAATTATTGTAACTTTTTCCCAGGTACCAATAGAAGCAGCTCATCTCTACGATGCTGTGACGCTCTGGGCTAGAGCTGCTACCGCGGCCATGAGGACTGGCCTTCCTCCTACTGACGGAGCCTCTTTGATGAAGCTGCTACGACCGACTACTTACAGATCTGTTCAGGGGTTTGATGTGAGTTGATGTCAGTTGTCAGTTTTTATCTCTTAATGTCTTCTCGTGATCCGTCAGGTTAGAGAAAAGAGTGCATATCCCTACTTTTATTTTTGATTATTTTATAGTTATTATTGTAAACAGCCATATTTATTTACTAATATTTTGCTCCTCGAATTTTGTGAAAAAAAGAAACAAAAATCGAAATTTGAAAAAACAAAAAAAAACGAATATTGTGAAAAAAAGTAATAAAAAACAAAATAAGAACAGAACAGGTAAAAAAATTAAGTTGGCGTAGTTTTCTATGGAGGTATCGATATTAAAGTTTTTTGTCTAACTTGAATAGAACTTTATAGAAGTACTTTACCTGCGTGATTTGTAAAAGGGCCTAACAATGGGAATGAATGCCTATACTTTGCAAATGAAAGTGTTTTTTTTAAGATCTAAAAACATATATTTTTTTCCAAACTTATCAACTTTTAGGGCACTTTAGAGGTCTCATGCTAACGGTTGACAGAGATGGTATTAGTTATTAAACAATTAAGTTTACTATTAATGTCAAACAATCATATTCTGAAGTATAATTTAAACAAATGAATTCTAAGTACCTCATTTATAATTTACTAAAAACGTTATCTAATTTAAATATATGTATTAAATACTAAATATTAGACAACATCGCGTACGTTGTTCTGATCCCAAAGTAAGTAACTAAAGTTAAAAGCACTTGTATAATGGAAATCGGAAACAACGTCGGTACCACAAACTTATTAATAAAAATTAAATAGAAAAGTTATTTTTTTACATTGACCCGGTTGGGGATCTAACCGGGGACCTCAGAGATGTCGACACCATGAAAATCTCTCTGCGACTGCGGTGAGAAGGTTTTCCAAAAATCTCTCACTAGAAGTCGCTAGCGGCGACGAATATCGAAAGTCCGTACAAATATCTATAACAAAGACACATAGGAGAGTTTCGACAACTCGGGAAATTGACCTGTGGCTCAGTTAGTAAGAGCAATGCTACGGTGCAGCACGGTCGAAGAACATGTTTCTATGTGTTCGATTTTTGTATTAATAATCATAACAAAACTAGTGGAGTTATTTTCCAAAAAATATCAGCATTTCTTTTACAAAAAAAAATTAGATCTGGAAAAAATTATTTCATTTCCAAATCGTGAAAACCTAAAAACTCGAAATTAACACATTGTTTGATGCATCTTCTATCGGAGTGATATCGAATATAAATCCATTACTATCTGGTAAAGCAAAATCCTGTGCCAGTGGTAACACACAACCGTGACTTCATAATACCATAATTTTCAGGTAAAAATGGACAGCGCCGGTGACGCTGAGGGAAACTTTACTGTGATCGGTTTAGTAGCTGACCCTTCAGCTCCAGCTGGCTTCAGGGCGCAACCGGTTGCTGCTTTCAGATACACTAATTGTTCCACGTTGCTGCCAGTAAGTTTCAAACAATCATCATTATCATCTTACACGCATCTTACACGTTCTCCGTTCGACAACCATGCGAAACAATTAAATTGAATTAAAATTAAATTAAATAGGACTTCATTCATCAAACACACACTCACATATCACATTGCTAGTACAACAGTGTTCTGAATCAAAATATGTGAAATTTAATTTTATATCATTATTGAACATAAAATGTGATTCTCTACATGTGAAAAAAACCGTCGTTAGAGTATTGTAAGAAACAATCAAAAGATATCTACAGGAAATGAAACTGTTTTTCCGGATTTAAATCGCGTATATTTGTTTTTTCAAACAAACCGACGTTTCCATACAGGTCCCATAAGGTCAGTCAACCGTGACCATGGGACCTGTAAAGGGCCCGAAACGTCGGTAATGTCGGTAATGTGTAACAATCGCGAATACCTAAGAAAAAGATAACTTTGTCGAAAAAAAAAAGGAAAAATTGTGTCTATAATAAAGTATAACATGTACATAAATTTTAATGATTGTTTGCGGGAAGTGAGTAATTCGTATTCAACGATTCTGAGAAAGTTTCTCTCGTGAGTTTGGGTGTAATTCGTGGTTGTCTACGTGTGTGTCCATGGCACCCACGACACATGGTTTCCCTAGTGCGGGGCCATGTTGAGTGTGTGCGTCATTAAAATAAAGTCGTGCTGTTATCCAGCCTCAGCCTGTGTTCTCAATCGGACGTTACTGTCAAAATATAAATAATAATCGACAAAATTAAAAGACGCATTATGCGACTGAAGTTTCATAGGTACTAATAGTGAATATCTACACTTTGCAAGTGAAATGAAATTCTAGGCCTTATTGATATTGTATTAGTTGTTGAACAGTTGTGTTTACTGCAAAGCAAAGAACCATGTTCTAAAATATAATTTAGCAAAAATGAACTCTAAGTACCTTATTTATAATTTTATTTCTAAAAAACGTATTCCAATTAAAATATATAATTATTAAATATTAGACAACATCACATTACGTTGCTCTGATCCGAAAGAAAATAACTAAAGTTAAAAGCGTTTGTTTTGGAAATCGGAAACAACGACGGTACCACAAACACTCAGACCCGAGAAGTTATAGAAAAGTTAATTTATCTCCATTGATTTCGGGGACTTCGGAAGTTTTAGACTTTGTTTGTAGAATCGTAGATTAAAACATATTTTCCAACATTAATCATTTCCTTCAAAAGATATAATGCTTATTTGACAGTCGTTGTTTCGGACGTATGTCAGACGGAGTACGAGAGTAGACGCCCATGACCGGGATCGGGAGAGTTGGAATGTTCAGGGGGACGCTTATGTCCAGCGGTGGATTAGAAATGAAACGAGTTCGGTTGTTTATTATATAAGCGTGTTCGACATTCAGTTGATAGTCGATAGAATATTTATCGATTACAATCTCTAGCTGCTTGTAAGCGGGCAACACTTTTACCAAAAGAACTGTTATTTTTCTCCATCTTATAAAAAGACAGACTATAAAGTTATTGGAATATCTTAAGTTCTTTTGTTTATGTTCATTTGTAATATGCGCACAAAAAAAGATGACCTTTTTTCTTACAAGTATTTCCATTTCAAATATATAACAGCATAAAAGTGAAAGCGTGTGTTGTTTCGTGAAAAAAAAATGTACGCATAATAGAGAAGTGTTTTTTAAGACAAATAGCGAAAATACGATCTTAGGTCTTGTCAGGAAATTTTGTAGATAAAATCTAGGTATTACTTACTTTAAGGGTCAACCACACAAACGTAATTTTGTGAGTTGTGGGTCGCGTTTTTGAGGTCCAATTGCGCTAAACTTAAGTATGTCTTAGTCAAATTAGTAAAACAGTCTTAACACAATATAACAAGGGTGTCTTTTGTGTACGACACGGGAGTCGTACCGTCACTCAACTATTGGTTCGTGTGCCCAGACAGCGAGAGTCGAAATAAAACGCCGATCACAGCCGTAATAGCGAATGCGTGCAGGGGCGAGACACCCAAGCTTACTAGTTCACCAAAAGCGGCCACGTTTCATTATCAACACTGATTTTTAAGAATAAACCACATAGCTGTCGGATAATTGTTTAAGAAATTTTTCTGCTTTTATTAGCGTTACAGAAGCGACATAAAAAAATCAGTCAAATTCATACTGGAACTTAATAAAAATACACTCAAGAGTTGTGAAAGTATACAACGTGAAAGCCTGGAATGGCCTGGATGGAGGACTATTGGAATACAACTCGCACGCTCGCACCCGGTCCGCCTGTTTGTCATAGCGTTCGGCCCCAATACAATACATTCCAAAAACTCCCGCGCCCAGAACGCATACGCGACCGCCTCTGTGTGGCCAGAGCATTAATATTATGAAACCTAATGTGGCGTAAATTAAGCGCCTCAAAAAACATGAACACAACTCAAAACGTTACGCTCGTCTGGCTTCACACATATTCTACGAAATATATAAAATATATAGATTCTCCAAATTATTTTAGAAAATGATGTTGTTGGGGCTTTTTTTCCGGGAATATCGGCCTCGAAAATTTCGACACTGGAGATTTTTTTGCATATTCGAGACTCCAGACTGATGTTTTCTGCCCTCTAGGGAATCTCGTCACTTTTTTAAATAGTAACCTATTAAAATCCACAGTAGGTAATTTCTTATTCTGGTTACTTGGATATTGCAATACTGTAGACTGGAGCTTAGTATAATCTGTGGATATTGAAGAATTATAGTAATAAAATCAGGTCCTCTCTGTCTGAAACTACCCTTACTCGCAGGAAGAAAATCACAGAACTACTCGCATAGGGTCCTCACTGACCCCAATTTATTAGGAAGATTTTTAATGAACTAACAATGGTACTTACATCCTTTGTTTGTTTCTTACGTGTCCAATATAAAAATAAAAAAGAAAGGTTTAGATTTTATAAAATAAGTTAATAAAGAGCCGGACTAAAATATCATGTTTTGATTACCTAAATGCTTAGCTTGTAAATATGGCAACCTACTTTTGAAATAGTCTTGAAAGTGTTTTTAATTCTCGAGATTGCACCGAGTCTCGACTTTTTCCCGGGATGCGAAAATGCATCGAGATTGAAAGCCTACGATTGAAAGAAAGAAAGATTAGAAAGATTATTACTAGAAAGATTTAAAGATGTTTCATTATGATGTACGAGTATATCATATAGCAAAAGCTTTCCTTACTTTACTAAGATATGAAAATATTTCTATTATGTCTGTATCCATTGAACACAGAGAAATTATATTTAACGTATAATAATAAAAGAAGCAAAAGCCGATGTTTTTGATTTATGGTAAAATATTATAATACGAAATTTTCTCTTATTCCGTCTTAACTTGTTATAATTTTTTTTCCAGGAATTAGTGGGTGGGGTCAACATAGCCTGGATAGGAGACAAGCCGCCCTTTGCAGAGCCACCTTGTGGTTTTGACGGTGTTAAATGCGCCCTGCCACATGAACCTGGGGTGATAGCTGCGGCAGCCGCAGTTGCGGCAGCGGCAATTCTCGCTGCCGCACTTTTGGCGCGGCATTATCGATACGAGCAAAAACTGGCGTCCGTGTTGTGGCGCATCGAGGCCAAGGACCTAACGTTTATCACGGCGTATAATGCGCATGGAGATAACAAGGTGAGTTGAGTTCATACTCAATCATTTACAGCATTCCCAAAAGTGGACAATATAGCAGGTAGACCCGCTTAAATTAGAGACCCTATTGGGCACAGCAAAAAATACACGGACATGGAAAATTTTCAATAGATACGGTTAAACGTATATCAACAAATAAGACTTCTAAAAACTAAACAAGTAATAAAATATTAATAATTTTTATAATTTTTAAGAATTAAATCTCAAACATAACTATTCCAATACCAATTGTATTGGTAATTCTATACAGTGATATATATCAAATAATGCTTAGGTTCGGTGAAGAGCAAAGGCCCATTTAGATGGAGAGAGTTTCTCGCACGCTTCGTGACGAAAACTCGTAGGCGATTATCGTAAGCAATAATCGCCATAAGATTATCGTATCATAATGTTTACATTCAGGCAAAAACTAAAATCTCGCCTACGATATGTCATAAGAGATTCGCAAGCAACTTAATCGCCTCCTCGACTGTTTACACAGAGAAATATGTAGTAAGGAGGTTCTTGCTTACGAGTTTTCGACTTGTCTAAACACGATCTCGTATGACATTTTTTCAAGTTCATACGATTATCGTACAAATCGGTTCGAACCGTTTTGAGTGCGAGAATCGCCATTCGAGTTCAGTGATTACTGCGGTATTGACTATGGATATATCGAAATGACGCAAAAACCATTCAAATTTGGAACTGCTGATAATATTAAGTTCATTGCATTGTAGAGAAATATACTTTTTTTTTTTATAACATTTCTTAATCCAAAATTTTTTTTCGTTCTCGTTTCATTAATTCTTGTCTTAGAAAAGCAGTGATAATCAAAACACCGCGAACAATCGCGCACTGCACTCGTGGTAGAAACGGCTTGCACAAAAACCCGAAATACGATTTTTGCTTTCGTGTTCTGTTTACACGGAGACGTTCAATATTGAAAGGCGAGGCGATTATCGCTCACGTGGACGGTCGATAATCGCGAATGTTTAGATGAGGAAAGTTTTTTATATTCTTTCGATAATCGTATCTTCGAGACGATAAACTCTCTCTATCTAAATAGGCCTTAATGCTTTGGCCACACAGAGGCGGCCGTGAGTGCGTTCCAGGCGCGAGAAATTTTGTAAAGTTCGTATGAACCCTGTCACACTAAAACGCACGGCGGCCGCGTGTCGGGGCGGCGCGGGGCACGGTCGAACGCTATGACAAACAGGCGGACCGGGTGCAGGTGTGCGAGTTTTATTCTATCGAGTTCTCCGCAACTGTCCACACAGAGCGGTAGCAGCGGGCGAGGTGCAGGAGCGGGGCTTTAGCGGGACTTAGGACGGCTCTGCCCATTACCAGTTAGCTGCCTTGGACTCGGTGGAGCGAAAAGCAAAGAGACTTGTTAACAATAATTCTCTTGTGGAGTCGAAGCTTCAAAATCTCGACCATCGCAGAAAAGTAGCCTGCTTGTCGGTTTTCTAACGGATATACTTCGGGGAGTGAGCACAGGATTTTTTCAATTTAGTTGCACCCTCACCGTTCCTCCTTCGGTCGACTAGAAGTCCGGAACACTCCATCCTTACGTCGTTGATATACCATCAATTCGCACTAAGCGCTCTGTTTCCTCCTTTCTCATATGTGCGGCAAAGGAATAGAATACTCTACCGGTACTGTCTTTCACGAAACGTACAATTTGGGGCTATGCAAGGCTAGAGTGAATAGACATTTCTTAGGCAAACGCGTTCCATTATCGGTCACATCGTCACTTTATATCAGGTGAGATTGTGGCTGCCTGTGTCTATTATACATTAAAAAAAGACTTTAGCGTGCTTTGACGTTGTATTACAACGAGTGTGTTATTATAAAGTTCTTAAGATTGTTTTTTTATGTTGCTTCCGTAACGCTAATAAAAGCAGAATTTTTTTTTGATTATTATTCGACAACGATGTGGTTCATTCTTTAAAATCAGTGTTGAAAATGAAACGTGGCCACTTTTGGTATCACACTGGCCGCCCGGGTCGCTATTCCGCCACGAACTAACTATGTTTGGGACTGCTGTGTATATGGTCCGCCCCGGTATGTGTTCGCTTGCCGCTGGACCACCGGACCGCTTTTCCGCTGTACCGACTCTGTGTGTCCTGAGCTTTAGGGCGTGTGGCGACCGGCCTACTTTCAGTACGTTTGACATTTATCTTTTTTTTATCGTATCAGTTTACCAGTTAAAAAATCAATAAGCGTGGGTCACCAAAGTAAATGAGCAGAAAGCATAAATAACACTGTAAATTGGTTCGCGGTGTGGCCTGTGAGTTATGCAATTAGGCGAAAAAAGGTGTCGTTTCTGATGAATGCGTGATAGTCGCAATGGCATCCTAAGGATGTTTGTCCAGCGTATTGACTGTACAACCTTACAGTTTTGGGAAAAGATCACAGATTTGAGCTTTATCATGTCGAAGGAAGTTTTCTTCGTGTTCTATCCTTGTATTATAACAATTTTATAATTACTAGACATGGAAATTTGTATTCGGGTGTATTTGGATATGCGAAGATTGCCGAGAGACAAAGAAAATGGTAGTGGATACTGTGCTACAGCAGCGTTACTACGAAAACGTATAAAGATTTGTCTTGGGCAATAGAAAAATCGAAGATCGTCTAAAAGCCATAGCGTGGGCGCTGCTCCGTCCTTTGTAACTGTAAACTACTTCTCTAGTTCAATACCTAATGAGGTTGTTCAACCTCAAAAGTTCGTGGAATTACATATATTTGCCAAGTTTCATTGTAATCGGTTACCAGAAAGTGCGCGAAACCGGATTCATCGCCTAGTTTGCCACCCTTAGAGGTGGAATATATTCGTCAAATTTAAATGGGTTTAATGCCGGAGTTATCGCGTAACATACATAAAAAAACGGTCAAGTTAAAGACTTCCTTCTTTTTTTGGAGTCGGCTAAAAGCTATATATATATATATAACTCAGTGTCTTATTGACAAATATAAGTTGAGCAGCAGTAGAGTTGCTTGTGATAGAATTTGTCAAGGGAAGTACTACCGACACATTATTTCTGCCGCCGAGCAGTGATGTGAACATTATCACGTTATCAGGCCCATGGGACTTGTTCACTTTATGTTTCAGGGTGATGGGTGCAGTAGCAGTGTTCCTTGGATAACGCACACACTCAACATAGCCCCACACTAGGATAAACTCTGTATCGCGGGTGTCATGGACACACACATAGGCAATCACAAATTACAACCAAAACTCCCGAGAGAAATAAATGTAGGCCATACAAATATCGCTCCCGGCACGGGAATCGAACCCCAGACCTTTGCGCGGCAGTCCGGCATGGTAACCGTTCGGCCACGGAGATAGATTGTAAATCAGATCAAAACCGGTATGCAGTAACTCTCACATTTATGCTTGGAGGCAGAAATAGGTAAGGATTAGACGAACTCTATTTAGAAAAAGTTCAAACTACTAACACAACTACAAACTAATAGTCTTTACGGTGTCAAACAATATTACGAATAGGTTTGAAGGAATTTTGTTGCAATGTGACACTCGTTTAGGTCTCTCTCTCGTTTTTTTTTACTTTGTACCAAACTTGGCTCCTTTTTCTTATCAAGTTTTCGATAGGATGTTTACCTAACTTTATCCCGTAGGCTGAAGGCAAGTGTTGATACAACTTCCGTTTCCTTTTTGGAAAATAGATGTGCGTCATCTTTTGCGCAGCAGAATTTTATATCATTTACATATGTACCTACCTTGTTTACTTACCACCTTGATTGTACGTATCAACGAAAATGTATAACCGCTAAAAATCGGGCGAATTCAATTTGCAATTTTTTGTAATTTGCATTATATGTTGGAATGTAAACGTAGAAGAGAGACGTTGAAGGAAACACCTTCGTCACTGATTTTGTCAGTAAATAATTGATGATTGGGCTTTTCCCTCTTCGTCAACGATTCGTTATAATAACGTCAGTTAATTGCAATTCTTTCATTTATCCACTTTTCACAGTAATTAGTTCGAAAGTACAAAAGATGGATGAGGTTAAAATTTTCGACGGTTCGAAATTTTCGATTTTAAACGTCACGCGGCAAATTCACAGGGAGCGGCCGAGCTCGGATGTTCATTTCAAAGCAATTCGCACAAAAAGCCCATTTTGTCAATACGAGTATGTGCTCGATTATAAAGCATTAACCATGAATTTCACTCTTTGTTTTCATATGGCAAACCCACTAACGGCCAAATTATTAATATAAAGAATTTTTCATATAAACTTACATTCTATAATTTATGTTTTTATAACAATAATTAACCCTAACACCCTATTTAAATAACAATAACAAGTTATGAACCTCGGTTTACATAACTGAGTAGTATCAGTAGAGCTCCTTGTGAAAGAGTTCGTCCAGGGAAGTACTACCACGTTATTTACTTCTACCAACTAGCAGTAATGTCAGCATTAGGTACTCTGTTCCGATTTTGAAGGGTAAGGGTGCTGGTGAAATTACAGGTATATGAGACTTGTCAACTTATGTCTCAGGGTGACAGGGGCTGTGGCAGTGCCCCTCAGATCTTTGCGATTTAAAGCTCTGAGTGGCACTGCAACTGTTCTGGACAGGCGTGTAGCTTACTATCAGGGAGACGACTTGTTCGTCCCGTCACTAGATATAATAAAAAAACTAAATAGATTATTTTATTGACCTAAAACATGTTCGGAAACGCGAACAAATTCGGTTCTGGCACTCACCGGCCGCTGCACAAACGAAATATATTTAGAGGTATATAAAATTAATATAAAGGAAGTGTATTTGATAATAAAACTAATAATAATAAAGTATAAAATAGATGTAATAATAATAATGATAGTGGTAGTGATAGTGACAGTGACAGTGCCAGTATCAATGACAGTGACAGTGACAGTGAAAGTGAAAGTGAAAGTGAAAGTGAAAGTGAAAGTGATAGTGATAGTGGTAGTGGTAGTGATAGTGATAATAATACTGCTGCTACTACTGATTATACTGTTTCTATCAACACCCATTAAGGAGCACCAAAAGATTCCCATAATAATAATAATAACCTAACCTCCGGTTAAAAAACCGACCTCAAAAGTCATTCATCCCCTAGTTTGCCACCCTTAGAGGTGGAATATTTTCTTGAAATTTAAATGGGACCACATCCAAGGTATCTTCTTTCCAACAAAAAAAGAATCATCGAAACTGGTTCACAAATGGCGGAGTTATCGCGTAACATACATACAAAAAAAAACATACAAACGAATTGAGAACTTCCTTTTTTGAAGTCGGTTAACAATAACGCGCACACTCATAGCCCTGCTCTAGGGAAACCCTGTATCGCGGGTGCCATGGACACACACATAGACAACCACAAATTACACCCAAACTCACGAGAGAAATAAATGTAGGCCATACAAATATTTCTCCCGGCACGGGAATCGAACCCGGGACCTCTGCGTGGCAGTCTGGCATGGTAACCGTTCGGCCACAGAGGCAGTTGCCAGTTGCCTATTTAGTCCTAGTGAAAATTGTCTATTAACATTAAGTTTATTTGATTTTCACACCCATGGCGCACCCGTTCGCATTATTGTACTAGAAGTGCTCACGTACTAAGGAGGCAAGCAACATTTCCCTTTTGCATAGTTAATCTTATTACTTGACGGAAGCTTTCAGCTTTCTAGTCATCGGAGGCTTGATGGAGATGTAGCACCATTACGCATGTTAACATGCGTAATAATACAAGAGTAATTATAGGCAAAAACTTGATATTTGTTTTTGCTAACAACCAAGTAATTAGAAGAAATGAAATGGTGTTATGTTATCTGAGGTTTATAACATTTGACTGTTATTAAAAGTTAGTGTTAGAGTTAGTGATTGTAATCAGAAATGAAATTATAGATTGTAAGTTTATATTGAACGTTCGTTATATAAAGTCAATTGTTATATTAAATAAGTTTAATGGAAATAAAATAATGCCAATTGAGCGTTATGTGAGTATATTTATACGATACATTATACACCCGTGTACACTACTACGCCCTAAATCACTAAATTCTACGCTGACAGGGGCAATCTGGACCCACGTCATGTTACGGAACTTTCAAGAATTAGTTTCTGCTTCGAACTCAAACATTCACTGTTAATGATCTATAGTGTCGCCAACATTTCAGGGACGGAAAATCGAACACATCACAAAGATTTTTTTATACTATATTAAACAGTTGCAGCGCCCGTCTCCCTGATGCTTTAGCTGTCCCATGTGTATGTAATTAACCGGAACGCAGTAATGATGACATTACTGCCTGGCAGAAGAAATAGAGTTTCCCTAATCTTAAAGAAAGAAACAAAAAGAAAAACTTTTTGTCCCCGAGAGTGTCATAAATCACATAAAGCTTTTCATTATGCCATATCACACATCATCGATAGCAAAGCCGTGAACAGAAATAAGTCTGCAGTAAAAAAGCTGGTGTAGAGAAACATTACGTATGATATATCCAAATCATTTTCCGTTAAAACAAACAATGTCTGTTTTCTATACTTACGAAATAGATATCCAGGCATAATTATTAAAGGGAATAAGGTTTTTTTAGAATATCAAGTAACGGGACGAACTAGTCTTGCTCCAGATGGTAAACTACATGTCCGTAACAGTTGCTGTGCCACATAGAGCTTTAAATCGAAACATAAGTTGACAAGCCCCATGTGCTTCTAGTTTCACCAGACCTATTACTAAAAATCCTTTTTTAGTAGCAGTAGAGCCACTTATTTCTGCAGTAATGTGAGTGTGAGCATTACTGCGTTCCGGTTTTAAAGGGTAAGTGTGCTGGTGAAATTACGTGCACTTGGAACTTGTCAAGTTATGTCTCAGGGTGACGGGCGGAATGATAGTGCTCCTCAGAGCTTTGCGATTGAAGGCTCTGAGTGGCACTGCAACTATCATGGACAGGCGTGTAGTTTATATTATCAATTTGCCAAGTTTTATTAAGTTTCTTCAAATTTACTCATGGCGTACCACCTTTCTAATAAAAAAAGAATCATCGAAATCGGTTGACATAAGAAGGAATCGCGCGACATACACACCAAAAAGTACATTCGAATTGAGGACTTCCTCCTTGTTTTTCAAGTTAGGTTAAAAATCAGAACAAGAAAATTAAATATAATAAATAACTATCGAGTATATAACCAGAAATAGAGACGAAATAAGGGCCATATATTCCTGGTAACACATTAGCGATAAGAGTTTGCATTGAAATATAGACAGGCCAACTACTAACCTATGTGTACGTCTCCCTATATTCCAAAAAAATATTCTGTATTTATTGTAATAAAGATGATATCTCTAACAATGCCGTGCTGTTCTATTCAGTGGTGTGGAAAAAACAGCAAAACATCTATTTACAAAACAAACGGAATCACATTTCATCGGTAATTAAATATTAAATATGTAATTTTGCAATTTTCGTCCATTATAGCAAAGCTCAAGTTAACTGGTCGTTCATTTTTAAATCGACATAGATATGTACACTTTCACCCTGCCTTGACTGTAGTAGACTAGTGGCTCTTCTACACCTAACAGTTTTTTCATAGATACACCCTGTCCTTTTCAAGGACATCCTCAATCTATTTAAGGTATGTATGCCAAAGATGACCTTACCCATGTTTCCCTATTTACTATTATACCCTATACGCATTTCAATTTTAAAATTATGTTTACTTATGAAGAACCCTACTTACTATATTCACGACGTTGGCAACCTTGCAGTTTGGGCGTTGGATGAAGAGGTCCCGGGTTCAATACTCTGTAGGACCAATTTGGGGAATGAACTTTTCTAAATTAGTTCTGGGTATACGGGACTTAACACAGGAGGTTATTAGAAATAGGTGATTGAGGGGAAAAAACGCCTTATAATTTGAGCATGTTAGAATAAGTTACTAAAATAATTGCTCCTTACAAAAATTAGGCGCTATTTATGAAGGAAGTTTTCTTGCAAAACACTGGGTTACACACGTGAATTCCGTTGCTCTGGTATTTATAGTACAGAGGATTCCCCAATTTGAGATTAGGTGTATGTATAAGTAGTCTATATATACGTAGTTCCATAACTGAGCACAGGACTTCTCTCACAATGGGAGGATGGCCTTTGGCTGTAGTTCCCACGCGGGCATAATACAGACATCATTTGAGCGTGAAACACAGTGAAAGCGGGTGCGAGTCGAGTGCGGGTCATGCACGGGTAGGGCGCGGGTCGGGACCGCAGCGGGTCTAATTCTGTTGTCGTCAATATAGACATACGGAATTGGTCTCGCCGCGGTCCCGTCCCCACCTGCGCCTGACCCGTACCCGCTCTTTGTCGCTTCACGGTTTAATAGCTTTGCACATGTGTGCAGGTTACCTCACAATGTTTTCCTTAACCGTAAAGCTCATGATAAATTTCAAATAAAATTAAATTTCGCACATAAATTCCGAGAAACTCAGAGGTGCGAGCCCGGATTCGAACCCATGACCCGTTGCTTGAGAGGCAGTAGGTCAAACCATTAGACTACCACCACGGATTATGTTGTCTGTGGCTACCACGGCTTCAATTAAAATGCCTTATAATTAAATAGACATTAATTAATTTAACATGTAGCGTATTTTAATTTCCTTTATATTGTAGCGGATGCTCGGAGGGTTGTTAGTTGGAGAAGGAAACGCTCGATGTCTAGCTCGCAATTAACATTTATTTCGAAATCAGCCCCTACCTTTATACAAAATTTATAAAATATAACGTACACCCCAAACATAAGTTGGAGAGAGGGAGAGAGAGACAGACTATATATATGCGTCTCGCTCTCGCTCTCACGTAAATACTTCGCGCGCCCGCGGGCCGCCAGTCAGTCGGCGCTCGCGCGGCGCTGAGTGGACGTGTTGATGAATGCCATAATATAAATAATTATAAATGAACTTGTAATTATGAATTGGACGAAAATTCTGCCCTCCTCATCATAACTAACGCAATCACCATTTTTAGCGAAACCGTGTTATTAACGTATCTGAAATAGTAAAACGGATCTACTGTGTGGTCTCATACATTTTTCGGTATAACTCTGCACACGCGGAGATCATACTTTAGCCACGTTTATCGCGCCTAGCTCATTTGAGCTTCATACATGTTATTTACATTATTGCGAAAACTAATTCACCAGGCGCTAATTTACCTGCTTGCTTTTTTTTTGTACGACTATCGCACATAAATTCCATTTGTTTCCTATCTTCGTTCGATTCGGTTCTCTTATTAAGTATTCCATTCCTTTGCTGTACGCATCAGAACGGAGGAAGCAAAGCGCTTAGTGCGAATGGGTGGTATATCGACGACATAATGATGGAGTGTTCCGGACCTTCTAGTCGACCGAAGAAGGAACAGTGAGGGTGGAACTAAATTGAAAAGTTCCTGCGCACACTCGCCGAAATGTGTCCGATAGAAAACGACAAGCAGGTTACTTTTTGCGATGGTCGAGGTTCAACGAGGTTTGCAAGCCAGTTATTAAATCAATGAAGTACTGTAACGAGTTTATTAAAAGCTCCATTTATGTACTTACTCTACGAGACACACATAATGCACCTTATTTTTTACGTAGTACGTTACCAACCGATACATTACATCAAGGAAAGATTTACCACCATAACACCAATATTTTTTTAGTAGCAGTAGAGCTCCCTGTGAAAGTATTCGGCCAGGGAAGTACTGTCACCTTACCTATTCCTGCCGCCAAGCAGTAATGTCAACATTACTGTGTTCCGGTTTTGAAGGATAAGGGTGCTGGTGAAATTACAGACACATGAGACTTGTCAACTTACGTCTCAGTGGCAGTGCCCCTCAGATCGTTGCGATTTAAAGCTCTGAGTGGCACTGTAACTGTTATGGACAGGCGTGCATATTTAAAAAAAACGTGCGAGGCCAGTCAACAGTCAGATGACCCGTGCCTATCAGTGGAACGTGTGTTGATGATGATAGTGATGACGACCTTAGATTACACTTATGTGCCAAGTTTTATTAAAATCGGTTAGCGGAAACCGGGTGAAATTAAAATCCGAACTAATTTACTACCCAGAGGAACAATATTTATATTCTTCACTACTCAAGCACATCCTTTCCAACAAAAAAAGCATCGTCGAAATTGGTTTACAAATGTCAAAGCAATACACACAAAACAAATACGATCATATTAAAAACCTTCTTTTTTGAGGTCGATTAAAAAGAAAGAATGTGGGCGCACGCCAATTTGCAGAACTGTAAAAAAAGTAAAATAACAAAGACTGCGATGCCTCGGTAATGAATTGGCATTCCGCACCTTTACATACTTTTTTCCGTACAAATAATTTAATCAGCCGGTTAAATTATTGTTCCAATCCAATATTGGTTCTTTAAGAAAAATTGTCGATCTATGACAAGACGTGTAGAGCACGGGTGGATACGGATCTATTTCACCAACAGATGAAATTTCATTAACAGATGAAATTTCAACATCGAACTGTTGATAAATAGCAGTTTACGCACCTATGAGAGTTGTGTTGTTCTATGTAGTTTAGTAACAGCAGAGCACATGGGACTTGTCAACTTATGTCTCAGGGTGACGGTTGTAAACCGATAGTGTGGACGGCGCTACGGACTTGCATCAGTGCGTCAAATATTTTTTTAAGTACATCAAATACCCAATAACGAATACAAGGAGCCATGTGAAATGCCGGCATGGGAACTTTATGAATAATGGTCTTAGTTACATTTTTCGCCTCTTTCTGCAGATGGTAGTACCCCAAGATGTGGAAGCGAGACGCGCGCACACGACGATTGCATTGTACAGAGGCAACATCGTAGCCGTGAAACGGCTCAGGAAGAAGAGCATTGACGTCACTAGAGCTATAAGGAAGGAGTTGAAGCTGGTAAGTCGAATATTAATGATTTTAATTATCTTTACCAAACGCCTAACTAAGCCACAAAAGGAACCAGATTTTTTCTATATGATTTTTGCAAATCGTTCGTGTTTTCGTTTCTTTTAATCTATTTCTTCATTAATGATTTGTTATCAAAGAACATCTATATTTTAACTCCAGTTGTTAAAACGGTTCGTGACTTCAGTGAACCACGCTTTCTTGGACGTCTTTGAACTATTTGCTAAGGCAGATTTACAGGTCGTCTTTGATGATGGCGTCGTAAGATAAGGGCCTTACTTTGAACATCAAAATGAAGAATTCGATTTGAGCGTTTCTGATAGTGAAATTCTTTTAGGGAAACATAATATTATCGCATAATATGTTGTACATGTAACATTTTACAGAATCACTTTTTTGTGATTACTGTAGCATCTATTAACAAAAAAATCTACTTACCTCGTATGCGGATACTAAGCTTTATGTTTCCGTGCTTAGGTGCCATTTAACATACCACTGTATAAGTTATTTTTGTAAACGATAATCTCCGATGTTTCCAGTAACGTATCGTGGTAGAAGTCACCCTGACGCAAGCTAACCTTAGTGGTTGTAAACATTTAAATAGTCTGATATTTGTACAAAAAATGTAATATAATCATTGACTTACAATTATATGGACGTCGGGTCCGCGCTAAAAACTGTCCGAACTTATAGGGCGTTAAAATTGTATACAGAGCGTCATTCACGCTTTAGTCTTCGTTTGTTCGACTGACAGCGAATCAATTTAAATACTACGTTTTAGCTTTTTCATATTCCTTTACATGTCACTACGTTTAAATAGATTGACTTGGGATATTTTTTTCGTGGTTTTTGTATTAGACCCGTCGTCCATTTATTTGTAAGTCAATGAATATAACTGATTATTTCAATGGGTATCATGAAAATATAGTATATTTATCACTTTTCTTTTCTAGTAGTCATGTTGACGGTGATTTGATTTAAATTTCGTTCTGGAGATTTGGCTTTGCGTTAATAAAATCAAAAGTTGAAGAAAAATTGAAATCCAAGATTTGGCAGTATAGCTAGACGCCTTAGCCTGTCCCGGAGTACGAAAAATTTTACTACTATTTTTATTACATGTATTTGTGTCAAGTGAAAAGTCGATTTTTATTTGCGGAAAATAATTAGTAATTTCTGGTGAACGAAACGAACCCGGAACAGCATCGGGGACCACCTCGAGAGTATAACAAACAAAAAAGAATTTTCAAAATCGGTCCACAATTACATAAAACACATACAGCCGAACGTATGTATAAATCCTCCTTTGTTTTCAAGTCGGTTAAAAAGCAACAAATGCCCGTACGTGTTAGATAAAGATGTATGGAAAGACGACATGGCTCCAGAATCCACACAAATTTGATTCAAAGTGTATTCCATAGCATTTAAGTTTATTTGAAAAGAGCAATCCCTAGAGTTTCTTGCTCGTTCTTCTCAGGGAGGTCAGCGTAGTGAACGAGCAGTAGCTTAAATGTGACGTTTTCAAGTGTAAATTTATTTTACCTATGGAACAAATAATCTTTGACTTTGACTTTGACTTTGACTAGATATCCTGTAATCAAGTAGGTACGATACGTATCGCTAAATTTGGATGTGATATATGGACTCGTGCCCAGCAGAGAAACGTATAAATTGGTGATGATAATTATGATGAGGTTAATAATAATATAATCTGGTTCTGAATCACTTCACATGTTAATATGTACATTTTGTTGTAATGGGGCTTTAGGAGGCTAAAAATGTTTGAATGCTGTATTACTTACTTTTAAAAATGAAATAATGTCTAAAAGAAGTAAATATCCTGACTACAATATTCAACGTCCTTTCCCGCATAGATGTAAAATACTTAAATATAGATAAAAAAAACGTAATCATATAAATACTAAGGAGAAACTTTCGGAGTCCTATCCAAGCCGCCGAACCTAAAAATGGTATTATTGCAAAGTATAACACAGTAAACAAATAAAACAAATCAACCCAAAAATTAATAAAACTAACATCCAAATTGTAATGTGAATATTTCAGAAACTCGATCTAACACAATCGTACTCCTACGTAACGTGTTTGCTAGAAGTAAGACAAAATGGCTGAAGATGACGCGCTTCTGGCGTGTTGAGTAGGTAAAGAGAAATGGGGATAAGTTAATATTTACCTTTGTTAGAGTACCGTAGTTATTTATTAATGTTAATTGATAATTGCTACATTTTGTACGTTTTAAATTATGAAGTTAAACAATCTAAATTATAAATAAATATTTTTTTTCTTTTAAATACCAATTGCCGGGACGAACAAGTCTTGCACCTGATGATAAGCGATACGCCTATCCATAACGTTGCACTGATGCTCAGAGCTTTAAATCGCAAAGATCTTAGGTTTTTCACTGCCTCTGTGCCTGTCACCCTGAGACATGTGATGATGATAATAAGTTCGTAAGGAACTTCAAACTTTTTGAGGATAATTTACTTTTACCCATAAGGTATCTGAGACATATAGCTAGTTTGCTATCTTGCTCCTACTCTAAGTAACAACAGTATACTTATTACTAACCATAATTTAAACTGAAAAACACGACAACAGACAAGTCTAATCATTTCCATATAGTACATCAAAATATTCAAGGCTTTTCTGGCAAAACATTAGAAATAAATATTTTTTTTGTACGATATTTCCGATGACGTGTTTTGTATTACAGAGAGACTAAATTCAACGACTGGGCAACAGAACAGTAGGTATTCATGAGAGTAGGTCTCGTTTGTATAAGCTATATGCTATGAAAACTTATAATACTAATTCCAATTTTATAGAATATGTTAAAAATATTCAAAATTATTTAAAAAAGTATGCGTAGCTGCTAAAGCTAAGTTTCACAGCGACAAAATTAGACAATCAATAAATAAATCTAAAACGACTTGGAACATAATAAGTAAAGAGTCAGGCAGGGTTAAACAACAGGATAGAGATATAGTTTTAGAATTAGACGGCAAACTTATAAAATCTAAAGACAAGAGGCCTGACCATGATCTCTTATCACAGTTCAGTATAGGTTCGTAACGACAAAAAGGCGGGATGGCGATATACACTTCATGTAGCGCTATCTCCCAACGAAGGCCCGAGGTAGCTCAAGCTTTTGAATCGTTCTTTTCGGAAATTGCTCTGAACACCATAGAATTATTAAATTCCTCCCTTTCTCTTGCTATTGATCTCCTAAAGGAAAATGTTAACGTTTGTGGCAGTTTATTTAATTTGCGTCATGTTAATCCACAAGCAATCATAAAAGCTTTTAAATCAATACATGTTAAAAAAACTGAAGATCTCTGGGGCATATCAACCAAAGTTATAGACTCAATTATTGATCTAATTTCCCCACATTTAGCTGTAGCTTACAATAGGTGCGTTGACGAAAGTGTTTTTCCTGATTTAATGAAATACAGCAAGGTTATTCCCGTATTCAAAAGAGGTAAGAAATCCTAGCAACTATAGGCCCATTTCAATTTTACCAACTTTAAGTAAAATATTCGAAAAGATTATGCTGACTCAATTACTGTCCTATTTCGGTAGGAATTATATTTTTCATAGTGAACAATACGGGTTTACTAGTGGTAGATCGACTAGCGATGCGGGGGTAGCATTACTAAAACACATCTTTGATGCTTGGGAAAGGTCCCAGAACGCTATAGGTGTTTTCTGTGACCTCTCAAAGGCATTTGATTTGATGAGTGTTAAATTTGAATTACTTAACGTAAAATCGACTAGTCCAAGCATAGAAATAAACGGACAAAAGTTAGACCTTGTTTAACAAAGCAGTCTTCTTGGGAGTGGCCATAGATAGTAAACTTCAATGGTTTCCACATATATCTTCCCTGGCCAGCAGATTAAGCTCCGCTGCATACGCAGTCCTCAGAATACGTGACCTTACCGATGTTAGTCCTGCTAGACTAGTTTAGTTACTTCCATAGTAAAATGTCCTACGGGATTCTCATGGGGGTAAAGCGGCAGATATTCAAACCATATTTCTATTGCAAACACGAGCGATTCGCTCTGCGTTCCGTCTAGGCTCTCGGATTTCTCTCGAAGAAAAGTTTAAGGAGACTGGTATGACTGTGGTATCACAGTACATTTACTGAAATATTTTGTAGGCCCGTACAAATATACATAATTTCAATAAGAAAGAAGATATCCATAATATTAACCACAGAGCTAAGTCCAAACTCATGGTACCACGATTTCGTTTAACCAAGGTAAATGACTCTTTTATGGGGAACTGTATACGTTTTTACAATAACATTCCGGAGAATATATTAAGATTATCATTTCCTAAGTTAAAAACTACATTAAAAATATTTTGATTGAAAAGTCATATTACAAAAGTGAAGGCTACGTGTTAGATAAAGATGTATGGAAAGACGACACGGCTCCAGAATCCACACAAATTTGATTGAAAGTGTATTTAAGTTTATTTGAAAAAAGCTATCCCTAGAGTTTCTTGCTGTTCTTCTCAGGGAAGTCAGCGTAGTGAACGAGCAGTAGCTTAATGTAATGTGACGTTTTCAAGTGTAAATTTATTTTACCTATGAAATAAATGATCTTTGACTTTGACAAGTCCCATGTGCCAGTAATTTCCCCAGCACCCTTACCCTTCCAAACCAGAACGCAGTAACGCTCACATTACTGCTTGGCAGCAGAAACAGGTAAGGCTTAGTGCTTCCCTGGATGAAGTCGTTCACAAGGAGTTCTACTGCTACTATTAAAAAATATACATTCATAAAGCTATACAAGTAAATATTAGAAACCTTATAGTGTAGTTGCGAAGCCTAAACGTAAAAGTTTACAGCAAACATGAAAACAGATTTCTCAGGGTATATTGCCAATCATTGGATGACATACGTTGAAAAAGCATATAGCGTTCTACATTCTATATATTAACGCGTCCAAAATGCTATTTGGGTTGCCGCGTTTCCGTAGCGCATCAACAATATCCGCAGAAGCGTATGCGAATGACTTGCAGCAGACCTAGACAACGTGACTTTTTGTTAGCGATGGTAGTTTTCCACCGGCGATGAGGTGTGACGAAACGAGGCGAAACGAGAATGGAATCTCGCCGACTTATTGGCTTGCACGGCCGAGCTTGTGCGAGCCATCGCGATCTTCTGCGAGGTCGTACTGTGATTGTGGATAATGAAGATTCAGTGCAATTCAGTCCATCTAGCGATAAAGACGCGGCTGAAGTAACGTGTCCCGTAAATTATACCCTATGTAGGCAGCAATACGGTTCCATATTACATCAAGAAATATTTCGATTCTTTACAAATATTTCAAGACCTCGTCTCGCTTAGCCTCGCCGGTGTAAAATCATCTGCGTCAATAGTATAGAAATACAATGTATGGTATTGACATAAGCGTACGTCACGAGATCTAGCATAACGAATGATAGAATGGTAACCAATGTTAACCACTTTCTCTTCCATCAAACGGATCGTTCAACTTCTGTACCTCGTTTCAGGACTGTAAATAGTGTATTATGTGTGGAGGTTGGGAGAAGAAGATTGAAAATTAATAATTTAAAAATGAAATCAGATTTTTGTAGGATTGCGAGTGGCGTCTCTATCCTATAGGGTCCTGGCAGAATACCAGCGTCGCGGGCAGCCGCGTCATTTATGCTGAGCCAGCGCCTTTTTCACTGCCATGACTTCCAAGTGTAATATTAGTAGATAAGAATATCATTATTGTTATATATAAGAGAATGCCTGTATCATGTATCTGATGTCATGGTGGTGAATAAAGCTTTTATCTATCTATCTATCGATCTAACTCGTACGACAACCACCATACAAGCGTAGCGAAAGTGGCAAATTTGACAAGCTCACTATCTATTCCATTGAACGATTACGAAGCGAACGCCAACGCCTTGTAGTAAACGAAACAAAAAGGCGATTGTTTAATCATCTGGTGAAGTGTTGTGTTTGTGCAAATTTTCATAAATAACTTTGAAATGCATTCGCTTCGACAGATGTGGGCTGCCCATAATGAATGTAGGATTTTGGTAGCAATGGAGGTCCTTGTGAAAAGAATTCGTCCAGGGAAGTACTGCCTTACCTATTTCTGCCGCCAAGCAGTAATGTGAGCATTACTGTGTTCCGGTTTTGAAGGCTAAGGGGGCTGGTGAAGTTACAGGCATATGGGACTTGTCTACTTATGTATCAGGGTGACGGGGGCAGTGGCAGTGCCTCTCAGATCTTTGCGATTTAAAGCTCTGAGTGGCTCTGAGGCGCACGACTTGTTCGACCCGTCGCTTGATATTATAAAAAAATAATGTGGATTAGATTGGGAGCGTTTGCTACTTGTTTAAGACTTCAGGTCATACATAATTCGTGGCGACAAACCTCCTTGATGTAACGAGTGCCCACTAACGCCTACAACCTCTTAGCCATGGTAACGGCGAGTGTTGATGGTCCATTTATAAAACGTGTCAAATCATTGTACGTGGTATTTGTTATAAAAATATATTGCGCATTTCACCTCCATCTCACCTGATGGAAAGTGACGATGATGTCTATGATGTAGCACACCTAAATACTGCCTATTCACTGCCGCTTTGAAAAGGCCCAAGTTATTGCGCTCGGGGAATAAGTCTGCAGGCAGGAAATTCCACTGCTTGGTCATTTGCTGTATAAATGTGTACCCTCTAATTAGGTAGCCAAATAAGTAAAGTAAAATATAATATAATGTATTATGGTAGTGTAACGTTTATTACTAATTTGATATAGATTCAGGTTCGAAATTAAATATATTTCATAAAATATTTTACGTATGTTATCCAGACTGGCTAACGACTAACTTGAAAGGAAATTCTAAACCGCGATAAGGAGAGAAATAAACTTTTGTCAGGTTCCCACCAAAATAGAATAACATTTCTGCTTTCACATAGAAAAATATGTATATATCCATACCTGCGTTTCATTTATCAAACGACGTAAACACTTTTTTCAGACAAATATTTATGTACTTATTTTCTGGTATTTTTATACCTGTACTAAATATAGGTATACAAGTATTTGAGGTATTTGCATACCTGTTCTCTTAAAAGCTTTTAGATTGTTTTTTGATATCAAAATTTTGGTATAAGCTGTGTTAATGCGAAACAACAAAATTAAACGCGTGTTGTGACAACAAAGGACGTAAGAAACTAAAGTTTTTATGACAAGTGTCACAAAGAACGTAAATGTACCGGTAAACATGAAAGCCCAAAATACCTTGACGTGGTGGTTAATAATACAGCCTGACGGTACCTCCGGCCTCATGTCACTTTTCCCTGTTGCCCTTGCCATCAATTGTATGCTGAGATCGTTCTGTCATTTCCTACAGAGTCGGAATGTAACCCGACAGCTTTTAAAATAAAATTATTTTTCCAGATAAGAGAACTGCGTCACGAAAATTTGACAGCATTCGTTGGAGTTTGCGTCGAAAGTGGATCTGCCTGCATCGTGTCAGCCTACTGCTCTCGAGGCTCCCTGGCCAGGGTCCTAGCTGACCGTGACCTTCATCTGGACGATATGTTCGTGGCCAGTCTTGTAGCTGATCTTTTGAGGGGCCTAACGTATCTCCATGATTCTCCGCTGATCTCTCACGGGAACCTTACGTCGAGCAATTGTTTGGTGGACAGCAGATGGGTGCTGCAGATAACAGACTATGGATTACATAATTTGAAAAGTAAGTATAGTGGTAAAGGATTTTAACGAATTGCGTTATTGTAACCGTGATCTAGCGATGCGTGACTTCGAATGTCACTAATACTGATTATACGTCGAATCCACGCACAATAATTCGACGTTTTTTAGAAGCAGTAGAGCGCCTTATGTAAGAGTTCGTCCAGGGAAGTACTGCCACCATATCTATTTCTGCCGTCAAGCTCGCATTACTGCATTAATGCTCGCATTACTGCGTTACGGTTTTGAAGGGTATATATAATTACAGGGGACTTGTCATCTCATGTCTCGGTGAGACGGGCGCAGTGGCAGTGAAAACCCTTAGATCTCTTTGTGAATTAAAGCTCTGAGTGACACTGCAACTGTTATGGATAGGCGTGTCGCTTACCATCAAGTGCAAGTCTTGTTCGTCCCGCCATTTGATATAAAAAAAAAATAAGAAAAGATGACTGATACCAAATGTCTCTGCCGTACGGTCGGTTGCACGTATTGAATGATTATTACGTCGGCACTGACGATGCATAGCTGAAATATCAATAAACAATTTCAATGTTCTAAAACTGGCTTATGGTTTTATGTGATATCTCAAAAAATTGTTTTGTCACTTACCCGCGTTTTGGTTAACGGACGGCAGATTTACGGTATTTACCATATGTATTTACGGTATTCACTCTATGGAATTTATGGATTAGTTATACTAATTAGTAATTAATGATCATGACGGCCCCCCACACCTCACCTCATAGAATGTACGTTCGCATAGAAATATCACGCCTCGGTATAATTTTATCACAAATACGTTGCCAGTATAAAAGATGTTGAGTTTTTTGTGCCTGTGATTGTGTTGTCTCCAACTTCTCCAACACGGATGAAGGAGCATGCACACCTATTTAGTGCCTATTCACTCTCGCCTTGAAAAGGTCCAAGATGTTAGAGTTCAAGGTGCGAGTCTGTAGGCAAGGAATTACTTACGGACTGGTATCGAATCTATATTATAGATACTGTATTCATAAGTAGTAGTAGAAACCAAAGTACCAGTAGCGGTAACAATCTAGCGGTAAATAGATGAAAGACGATGAACGATAGACGTCTTTGAGTAACATGACAGGTTCGAAATGTTTATTTATTTCTCACACATTATTTATTACTTACTGCACAGAATATTAATTACATCTTCATATAACATATGTATATACCTATTAATTAGGTAATTAATTTAGTTTACACTTATGCTGTTTTATTTATCTATGTATTCGTTTTATATATCTAGTGTAAATATTTTTGTATATACCAAGTCTCACGCACATGTTATGCATGTATTTGTTTTGTTTGTGGTCGAGTCCGTGCTTCACTCATATCGGGCTTGCTGAAAATCAGTGCTGCAGGCTGAAAATCTATCAGCCTGTAGCTAATAGCTGAGCAAATCCCGTTTGCGTGCGCCGCGACACGCATTTATTATTACATTATTAATTTTTAATTTTTTTTTCTTTTAATCATTATAATTGTTTTAACTTTTGTTACAGTATTTTAGTTTAAAGTTTATAATATTGTATTTTAATTTTAAGATCATGTGTCTCGGTGCTTACGCAATAAAGTATTCTTATTCTTATTCCTATTCCTATTCCTATTCCTGTTCCTGTTCCTGTTCCTGTTCCTGTTCCTGTTCCTGCTCCTGCTCCTGCTCCTGCTCCTGCTCTTGCTCAATCTCCTGCTCCTGCTCCTGCTCCTGCTCCTGCTCCTAGTCCTAGTCCTAGTCCTAGTCCTAGTCCTAGTCCTTATCCTAGCCCTATTCCTACTACGGGGTGTAACATGGAAGCAACTACAAATTAACGTTGTCTTAATTTTGCCAACCAATTATTGTATAGTTTGTCTATATATGGTCCTACTGCTGAGCACAGGTATCCTTTCAAAATGAGGGCTTGGTCTATAGTTCCCACGCGAGCACAAAGCGGATTGGTAACTTCATACATCACACATCGTTCAATTGCTTTGCAGTAGTGTGTAGGTTTCTTCACGATGTTGTGCTTCACCGAAAAGCTCATCTTCAGATTCGATCCCACGATCCTCTGCCTAAGAGGTCAATCCGTTAGGCTACCAAGCTAAATCTTATGGAGTATACTGGCTGTAATAGGTCATGATAAAAATAGTTATTTGTTATGCATAGCGACAAAGTTGTTATTTGCCGTGAGGGCTTGTATTGAAATCTGAGCAAGCGAAGGAGGCTAAGATTCTGAGAAAGAAACATACAACTTTTCACCTCACTATAGCGAGGAAAATGGTAGACGAAAGAAAAACAGTTGAACTATAAAACCTTTTTTAATGAAAAGAAAAAGTTTATCTTCGGATGCGTTCTGAATTTACACCTCATCAATTTTGTGATTATTGAAATTATTTTAGTTCTTCGACGAATTAAAATAATATAATAAACACATTTAGTTATCATTGTCAATTTAATGTCAACAATAATAACATTGACATTAAATTGACAATGATAACTAATTGTGTTTATTAAATTATTTTATTTATCCGTTCGTATATTTATACCAACGGATTTATGTTACATAAATAAGTAATGTACGACAAATCGCTTAATTGAACGTGCCATTATGGAAAAAAATAAAAGAAAGGAGCTGCCCTAACTACGGAATGAACGTGCATACTTATACATTATACAAAAATTGAACGAACAAATAGCGGATTTCTTTAGTGCCGTACCATAATCTATCGATAAGTCTTTATCGACATGCAAACATTTATTTAAAATAGATTAATATTCCATTTGAGAATATTTTAGGTTATTATGAGAATATCCGGAATTTTTTTTTCTTTTGCGTTTACAAATACTCAAATATTACGAAAAGTGAACTATGCACAGAAAAAAAAAATTTGTAATTTGAGAGTATATAAAAAGAGAAAACTTTAAAATATAAATCCTATACATTTACAACCTCAAGATTCTTATTTTCATAGAGATTTTTTGAATAGATTCCAAATAGTGTAAGTTTTTTTGCATTTATGCATTGGTATGGAATTAATATCAGTGACTGATTTAAATGAATCTCTAATACTTCCATTTAGTTTTGGAAATAAATGAATGTAGTAATATTATCAATGATAATATTATTATCATACGTTTATTTGCTTAAAACATGGTATAACAGGAGATGTTACAAGAGACAGTGTTAGTATAAACATGTTTAGCATAAATTAAACAGCATGCAAATGTCTGATTATACAATGTCAATGGACTACTATTGGCCGAGCACCTTTGATTTGTGCAGAAATATCGACACTTCTCCAAAGTGAGACAAGTAGTCACGAGCGACTGCGAGTTGTGATAAGCCACGTCAAACGAGCTCTATACACGTTAGCGCTCGCCTTCACCCAGACAGCTAGACGAGTGACTTCGAACGATGGCAAGGCAAGGCAAGGCAAATAGGCTGTCTATACGTTGGTCTTGTATGGCCTTCTCCCGGCAACGTTAGACCAACATGGTCTTTGTATTGCTGGCTTTATAAAATAAGAATTTTTAGTAGTTCGAGTTGCCAGTGAGAAAAAATCGGAAACGAGTGGATAATTTTGTATTCAGGAACTGAGAACGTCTAGTAAATGAGTCGTGTTTAATCTAAGTTAAATATAAAACTATTCACCAATAAACCTAATGATGGAATTGCATTATCATGTAATCTAGTTACATTCAAAGATATGTTTAAATTTGACTCTTCAAAATGAAGCGAATAAATGAAGATGGTCTTTGATTTAATGTTTATATTCGGCACTATTATACGGTGGTATGATTTCCAACCATTCTTTTTTCTTCTTTGATATGTAGGTAAACTTGAAATAGTAAAAATAATAATAATAAAATAGTAAAAGCCTGGTAGTGAATTATTTTAATAACAGAATATCGATAATATGTACGCTTCCAAGAACAACACTATCTCAAAATACTCGTTAACGACAATCATCAAAATATACAAACAATAGGCCATCTGACGAAACCAAAGCAAAATTTGGCAAGATTTATGAATAAACTACTTAAATATGTCGAATTACATGAGATATTTGGGCTTTTGAGTGATTTATAGACAGATAAATAACACGTGCCTGTACAATGTTACATTCGGTCGATCTTCGCTTTTTAAATGCCACATCTCGTAGTGCTGCAGCGACGAATTTTTATTAATACTTCATTGTTCTCACTGTCAATATTTTTGTCCATTTTATTACAATACTTGCGAATAATTCAATAGAAGACTTGGAAAAATATTTGTTTTGACATTTGATGTACTTCCCTTTGACAACCGTATCATGTACCTCATGCTTAGACTATGAAAACTAAAGAACATATTATGTAGACATATAGAAATCAGACGTTGTATGCATACGACGCAGTTCGACGTTGAAAACGTAAAGATTTTATTGTCTTTGTTTAACTCTTGCATGCCGTCTTAAGCCAAAAGAGATAGCACTACATTGGTCTGTGTCAAATACTGGAATCGAAAATACGTAACATGACCTTAAATGCCAATCGTGTCCATTTTGCAGTACATGAGGCACATGATACGATTGTCAAAGAGAAGTACTTCAAATGTCAAAACAAATGTTTTTCCAATGGTCCCACTTCATTTTGAAGAAAATCATCCACCTCTAAGGGTGGCTGATCACGCATAAACATTTATTTTTATAAATAGCGCCTAAATTTTACTTAAGGAGCAATTATTTAAATGGTTGGTTTTGTTATTCTCGAATTCAGGGCATTTTTCTCTCTCAATATACTTTGAGTAATGAGAACCGATTTTTATTATCTCCTGTGTCAAGTCCTGTAGGTATAATGGCGAACTAGGGGATATTTCAATAAAACTTGGCAAATAAATGTAATTCTACGTACTTTTCAGATCGGTTTTTAGTACTCTGTACTGAGATTATTATAATACCAAGTTAAGGAAAAAAAGTCGTGATCCTAATGGTAAGCGACACGCCTGTCCATAACAGTTGCAGTGCCACTCAGAGCTTTAAATCGCAAAGATCTAAGGGGCACTGCCACTGCGCCCGTCACCCTGAAACATAAGTTGACAAGTCCCATGTACCAGTAACTTTCACGTTCACTAGCAACCTTGCCCTTCGAAACCGGAACACAGTAATGCGGACATTACTGCTTGTTAGCAGAAATAGGTAAGGTGGCATTCCATAGACGAACTTTTTCACAAGGAACTCTACTGGTACAAGAAATATAATATATATACACAATAAGTATGGATATTACTTCGCTTTTCAACCATAAAAAACTTATGATAAATAAAATTACTTTCAGATTGTTAGTAGAATTTATAAATGTAACCTGAATTTTATTTTTCTGAAACGAGGTTTGTATCGACAAATATAATTTCATTCTCAGAATACGTAGAGGTACCTGTTTTGTACTTTTCAAGAATGATAAATAAAATCTCTCCACAAGGAAATGTAATTCCATATTACCTTTACGTATTTGATCAAATAAATAAGAAGTGTTGCGAAATTATTTTTTCAAAATGATATGGTAGATTTCTTGAAGAAGAGAACGATATTGTATTTACGTGAACGCAATATGGTTGTATATTTTTTATCTCAATATGGCGGCAATATTTTTTTTCTATATTAGAATAAGTGCGCATTTCAGTAATCTGATAGAAATTGACGATAAGGTCGACGATGGAGTATGCACAATTGCACATATTAATAATACTTATTCACTCTCGCCTGGAAAAGGCCTAAGTTATAGCGTTCAGGGAATATGTCTGCATGTAAGAAATTCCACTCCATAGCCGTTAACCATATAAATGTGGAAGCGTGCGAATCTTTGAAATATCCACAATATAAAGGTAGAACCCCAGCCTACGTCTAGTCCCCCGATGATGGAAAGGTGAAGACGGAATTGCATCGCGTACTCCATCCCACACTCTTCGTGATATCCTGTAGAATAGCGGCAAGCATGTAACTTTATAGCAGTATTCAAGACTTTGCAGTTTCAACTAAATCCGAGTCACCTACAAGCCTCTTGACACGCGTTACAAACTGAATCCAATATTTTTTATGAAACCAAGTGACGGAACGACCAAGTCGTGCGTCTGATTGTAAGCGACACACCTGTCCATAACATTTGCGGTGCCACTCAGAGCTTTAAAAGACAAAGATTTCAGGGTCACTGTCACTGCGCCCGTCACTTTGCGATATAAGTTACTAAGTGCCTATAATTTCACCAGCACCCTTACTTTATACAACCGGAACGCAGTAGTGCTCGTATTACTGCTTGGTGGCAAAAATAAGTAAGATGACAGTGGCAGAAGCCCTGAACGAACTCTTTCACAACGAGCTTTATAACTACAACCTGTAAAACAATTAAAAAATAAAATGGTCATTTCTAGAAGTGGTCAATTCAAGAAATGGTATATTTTAAAAGTGGTACCTTTTAATTGTGGCCCTAAACCGCCGCAAGGATTAAAAGATGCGTGTGAAAATTCCAATTGCATTGGGGCCCTGTTGGAAAAAGCCCCAAATTGGCTGAGGAGATTTGTGCCAAGGCATCGCCTACCCTTCAAAATTGGAACGTAGTAGTCCTGACACTACGGTTTGGCGGCAGAAATAGGTAAGGTGGTAGTACTACCCCTGGACGAACTCTAACGCAAGGAGCTCTACTGCTGCAAAAAGTACGAAGTAAATAAAGTACATAGTTGTACAATAAGATTTAAACCGCGTAAACGGTATCTCTTATTAATGTTATACCTATCACTTAACTTTCATAATATGATAATTATAACTTTTCTATAAAAAACAACAGTCCACAAAAGTTTGAGCAATTACATATTTATTTGTCAAGTTTTATTGAAATCAGTTAACGGGAATTGGGTGAAAGCCAATAAATCGGATTCCTCCCCTGATTTGGCATCCTTAGTGGTGGAATATTTTTGGATGAAAATATTCCCCTTTCCAACAAAAAAAGATTCGTTAAAATCGGTTCACAAATGTTAGAGACTCAGAGTACCTTACCACACTTTAGCATCTAAAGTGTTTCATAATAAAAATATTATTATTATATTTGTGCAACAATAACTACGTTATATAGTGTCATTCAGCGCTTCATACGTTGCCTACGCACAAATAATTATTTATTTATAACACATATCGATTGTTTAAACACGAATCTTGGATTATTTCTAGCAGAGCTTTTCCTATTTGGTAAATCGAGGACTGGTTTCCTTAAGTTTTCATAAACATAATTCCATTAAGGCTAACGTTTCACATCCCACTTCGTTTCAGGTTATTTTTTCGTTCGTACACGTGGAACGGGAATTAGACTGGATCTCACCTTAAGAGACCCCCCACTAGCGTCTTTTAAGCGTCATCTTGACAACAAAGCACGCACAGCATCTTGACAACACACACAGAACGTCGACACGGCGTCCGCGCAGCAGCGACGCAACCACACAGTGCTTTGGAATTTAATTATGATGCAATTTGCAATATATGACGCAACGCCAGCACTGGGCGCCTGCGGAATAGTGCCGAACGTCGGGTACACGCTGCGCCGACGGCGACGTGCCGTGACGACGCTGTGGCCGCTCGCTGTGCGTGTGTTGGCAAGACGCTAGTGTGGGGGGTCTCTCAGAGCGATTGCGCACCGCATCCGATTCGTACTCGTTCCGAACCCTAGACTATACAAATCTAGAAAACTAGGACTCACATAAGATGTCGCTTGTACACGTTACCGCTTAGGGGTAGAAATAAGTCAGGTGACAGTACTTCCCTGGACGAACTCTTTCACAAGGAGTTCTACTGCTACTTAAGATGTATTGCTACATAGTTTAAATCACGATGATCTGAGGAGCATTGCCACTACGCCTATTACCAGGGTTCCGTCACTCGCTCAATGCCTATCGTTGAGTGTACCGACTTCGGCACAAGCACTCATATAAGTTTGTCATTAATGAGTATTCGGCTCCGCACGACTGCACACGGCGGGCATCGTTATTTTCACCTCTCTGAGTGCGTGCTTAGGTTCCTTTTTCCTCGTAGTGAGCGCCTAGTGTCATTAGTCAGATTTAGTAGGCTATTATGGCGTAGATATTTTTGGTTTTGTATGACAGTGATGTATCTGTTATGTAGTAACTATTAAATAATCTGAGACGTTACTGCTTAAATTGCGTTGCTGCAAAAATAGGGAGACAGTGGCAGTGGCCCTGGGCGAACTCTTTCACAAGGAGCTTTACGACCACAACCTGTAAAACAATTAAAAGACGTGTATGAAATTCCCAATAGTACTATTGGGCCTATGTGGGAACTACGGTCCAAGCCGTGGGATTATATACAGGGTTATTTTTAAACATAACACCACAAATAACCACTTTTGGTCCGTAACTTTTTATAAAACATGATAAATTTACCAAAATATAAAATTTAAGTTTTTGTTGTAGTATCTGGCAATTTTTTGTCAAATCGGTATTTGATACAATAAGTTCATGCGTGCAAGCATCCTTCGCGACCTCCGTCCTGCACAGAGTTATTACCGTAAAGAGCGATCAATGGAATTCTGTTTATTTTTGTATGAAAGTAAAATCTGAGGAATTATTGAAAGTCATGGAACAAAAGTTGTCGTTTATGACTGTTAGTAATATAGTCCTGGAAGGTTGTTAATGTTTTAAAAATAACCCTTATATGCATTGACTTACTTATATGCTATAGTAGTTAATGTCACTGTTACATAATGAAAGGCGTGACAATACGAGTGTGGATTTATAAAAACATCACACGAGTGTTTTAATGCCTAATTATGTACAGTTACATACACTGCTTTATCTACACACATATTATAAGCTCTCTGTGATCTGTCCAGGAACCGCATGTTACGTCTGGCGAAATGGCGGCAAACAAAAACTTTTCTCACGCATGTCACACAAACGTAGGTTTTATTTTTAATTCACAGACAAATTAGAATCAGCCCCAACTATCATATCGTTCGATATCAAGTAACGTGTGAAATTGTCAAAATTGTTTGCTATTGACATTTCATTTTGAATAAAACTTCATCTCGACTGATAGTAGAATTGAGGTCCAATCAAATTGTTTCGTTTTTCAGAGATGTTCGAAATTTAAATGTAATAATAACATCGAATTCGATGTTATTACGAAGCAATGATAACATTTTCACAGATAAGAAATTTGTTGTAACAAAACAGTTTATCTTTATGCTGGTCGTAATTTGCGGTTTGTAAACATAATATAGAGGGTTTATGACTTAGAATAATAACGCATAGAATGATAGTTTCATATTATAATAGATAAGATAATTGGCTTTCTAATTTTATTTAAGTTTTTTTTATTTTGTATAACAGCCGTTGGTTCTCCTTCAAATAAAATAAATAAATATCAAACGAACTGTCACAAGTGAGGCAAAAATCAAATTCATGTAGGCTAGTTTTAGTAGTAGGTTAATTTTCGGTTTTATACAAGTTGAAACGCGTTACTTCCTTGTGGAATGTGATGTTAGTATCTATTTTATGTTTGTCTGACGTATTTTTACACTCATTTACCGCACATTTCGTCATTTTTAGCTAAAATTCTGGAGCTGTTCGCGGTGCAAGTTGACCTTGAGCACTGAAGGCCCGCCCGCTCGTGTAGGCCCTTTGGGAGCGCTTCAATTTGCCTCACTTAGCGCATGCGGGCTATGTTTCTGTGCGTTATTATTCTAAGGTTTATGATATGTGTGTAGATCTACACTCGTGAGATGTTTTTATGAAAATACTACATAATCCCGCACTCGTGTTTTAATGTCATTCATTATGTGACAGTCACGTAAACTACTATATTTAGATATAACAAAAAGTATTCTTCCAGGTGGTTGCGCTGACGCTGAAGATGCGCTGCGCGTGGAACGGCGCATGCTGTGGCGCGCGCCTGAACTCCTGCGCGATCCCAACCACCCCGCGCGCGGCTCACAGAAGGGAGACGTGTACTCTTTCGGCATCATCCTGTATGAGATCCTGGGAAGGAACGGACCATGGGGTGATACTAGTTTGACAAATACAGGTTAGTGGGAGTAATCAAAATTAATGTTTGTTTTTCCCGTTTGCGTTCCATTATTATTTTATTTATAAAACTTGCGTGAGTTGTTGTACTCGCGCCCGTAAAACTTTCTGAAGTAATAAATAAATAAATAATAAATAACACACGCACTCATCATGACGCTTTAGAGAAACCCCGTTACGCGTGTGGCATGGACACAAGCAAAAAGAAATTTCACCCAAACTCACGAGAGAAATAAATGTAGGCTATTCAAATATTCCTCCGGGCCCGGGAGTCGAACCGGGAATTAGTACCATTATAGCCTAGTTGTTTTGACAAATTGGTCTACAGCAGAAACGGCTGAACCATACTCTTTAATAAAACGCCAGATTAATTATTAACTAATAAACTACAATCGTATACAGGGTTATTTTTAAAGTACTAACAACCACGCAGAAGTGCATTACTAACATCATAAACAACAATATTTGTTCCATGGCCCTTTACAAAAGATAATAAATGTACCAGAAACAAACTTTTAAGTTTTCGTTGTACCATCTGACATTTTTTAGACCTGTATCTGGTAGTAATGTTGTGTGCAAGTGTCTTTCAAACGTCCCCGAGCGATCTAATTATTTATTTTTCAAAAGTCCCATGAATTAAGTCATGAAAAATTGTTTATCTGTTTATTTAGGACATCTTACAAAACATACACAAATAAAATGTACAAGGCAATGAATATAGTGGCTCGAGTTATTGAGCACTGCCACTCGTGTTGCCATTTTACTGTTATCGATTCTACTCAAATCAACCCGGGAACTAGAACTTGACAATTATTTGAAATTTGGCAATAATTTTCTTCTTCTACCGTATCGATGTCGTACACGTGTTTGACATCATGGTGAAAGAATTTGCCAATCCGCGTAAGGTATATAGTCATCGATTGTTGCCCCGGGTGACGGTTCTGTCACTCCCTCAAGGCTACGCGATAACTGTCTACCGCTGAGTGTACCGACGGCGGCACAAGCACTCATACAAGTATTTCATTAATGAGTATTCGGCTCCGCACGACTGCACTCGGCGGGCAACATTATTTGCACCTCCGAGCGCGTGCTAAGGTTCCTTTTTGCTCGTAGTGAGTGCCTGGTGTCGTTAGTCAGATTTAGTAGGCTATTATAGCGTAGGTATTTTCGATTTTGTATGAGACTGATGTATCTGTTACGTAGTAACTCTTAAGTAATCTGTGCCTGTGTGCGTTGGACGTAGACGTGGAATGGTACGTCGTGCGGGCAGGCTCCTTTCATGCACCGCCTTTTGCAATAATGAAAATGATGTAGAATTAAAGCTCATATTAATTTATAGCTAGTGCTATCATTCGTGGTACTGCTAATGCATGGAATATCAAATATTTCTCATATAATTTATGAATATTGCAAAATCATTCGTTCGGACGACCTCATTAATATTTGAGGTCATATTGTTTACCAAGATTAAAACTGAAAAAATAATTGCCTGCAGACATGAAAATTTATTCATAGTATATATTAAATCGATGTCTATTGTCATTTCAGTTGTCAATTTTTATCGTGTCGTCAAGACCTCTCTTTTTAACCGACTTCAAAAAAGGAGGAGGTTCTCAATTCGACTGTATGTTCTTTTTTTTGTATGTATGTTACGCGATAACTCCGGTATTTGTGAACCGATTTTCATGATTCTTTTTTTGTTGGAAAGGGGGTACTTCCATAGTGATCCCATTTTATTTTGAAGAAAATCATCCACCTCTAAGGGTGTCTGTCCACGCATGAAGACTCATTTTTATAAATAGCGCCTAACTTTAATTTAGGAGCAATTATTTTAATGGTTGATTTTGCTATTTCTCCAATTCAAGGCGTTTTTCTCTCAATATACTTTGAGTAGTGAGAACCAATTTTTATTATCTCCAGTATCAAGTCCTGTATAGTGGCGAACTAGGGATATTTCAATATAACTTAGCCAATAGACGTAATTCCACGTACTTTTGAGGTCGGTTTTTTTAGTACTCTGTACTGAGATTATGTTAACTTTTTATCACAAAGCAGAATACAATAGGAAAAGTCCTAAACGCCCAATGTACCAACATTAAAATGTACTAAGTAAATATAGTTTTCTTAATCATGTTCAGAAATGTTTGCATTACTTTCAAAAGTATGAAAATCCATCACTGTTTGCTGTTTTACATTTTTCAATCTATCTACTAGTAATTGGCTAGCAATGGACTATGTAAATAGGCAAAATAAAAACTCATGCAGCCAACTGCCGTGTTCGTAATTACAATAATTAAAAATACTTACCTGTACGGCGGTAAATAACTTTTAGTAATTGTCCTAACATGTTGAACATTACTTATAATATTTTAAATAGTTTTTTTTTTTACTTTTTGTATTAAGTATACAACTTCCTCTGTTTAGTATTTTATTATTTCCTCACATTGTTTGAGAAAAACACTATATATGTCTCGGCGAGAACGGAGATTGCTTGACGCGTTTTAATACAAGTAATATGTAACTCATACTCCATATCATATTCTACGTCCAGCAACACCTTATTTCCCTGCCTCTGCAAGTCCTTTAGCCCCAAGGAAGTATGCTCTCAGGTTTGTATGAAAAACGTATCTTTTTAGATACCCTGTGACTTATGGACACATACATTTTGCTATAGGAGGTTAAATTTAATTAAGTAAGAGATTTTGAAATAGAAAATTCGTTACAGAAATAATAGGCCGAGTTCGCCAGCCAATCGGCGGGGTGCTATTTCGTCCTCCTCTCTTCGGATTGGCTGCTCGGCCATCGGTGCTCGCTGTGCTCAACGCATGTTGGAGCGAGCGACCCGATCGTCGTCCCGACTTGCGACTTGTGCGGTTACGACTGAAGGACATGCACGCTGGAATGTAAGTAGTCTTCTTTATGTTAACCTACCTTCAGCTTACTAGTTCGCGCTTCACATGTATCTCTAGCGTCTTTTACAGTTACTTGATTTATCAATTTTATCACTTACGGGTCGATACTACCTCATATTTTTTTACAAACGAAATTAATGTTTTCTATTTAGTTCAGTTGATATAAAAAAAGTCATTGGTATATGTAAAGTACTTTAATTTGAAAATTGCAATTTTCTTGTAAAATTTTGAGAAAACTCGAAACTTACGTTTGTGTTTCTTTTTCTATCGTGAAAATTTTTAGGAACCGTGTTTTCACCGTATATTAATTAGTGTATACGGTGTATACGGTATATATCCTCAATTTTACTATATATATTTTTTTTAATTATTGATTCAACACTTCCATTGTTATGCGGGATTAATCAAAGCCATTTGAGGTTGTATGGACTTTTATGTACATTTTGTGTCCCGTGGTCTCAATGTCCTAACTGAAAATCAAATAATCACTGATTTAGTGACCCTTTTGTTACCGCAGCTGGCACCACATAAAAATCTTTGTAATTTGTGTATGTTTTTGCAAATAAACTGTGTTTTAATTTAATTTAGTTTTAGTTTTGTTTGCGTTTTTGTTTTCTTTGGAATTATTTAGTTACTTTTGAATGCTTTGATATTAAAATGGACTTAACTTGAAAATAGATACTTATTTTATTGAAGATCACGATGTTTTTGTTACCATGATATTCAAATAATATTTTTTTAGGGTGACGAAAGAAAAATTTCGAAGAAATCTTCATAGTGTCCATTGGATCTTTGTAACTACCAATAATAACACCAAACTACTTTTGTGGACAGGAAAACGAATATATTCGACAACATGCTAGCGATGATGGAGAAGTACGCGGCCAATTTGGAGAACCTGGTGGCTGCCAGAACTGAACAGCTGTTGCAGGAGAAACGACGCACTGATGATTTGCTTAATCGAATGCTGCCAAGGTAAGTAGTTGTCACTCTTGATTATCATCATCGTCAGCCAGTCCACTGCTGGACATAGATCAATGTACGCCATTTCGCCCGGTCCTCAGCTTGTCGTATCCATCTTCACTCTTACGTTATCAGAAAACTCAAATAAATTTCGACAAATTTCTATACTTAATTGGATGTACGAATATAAAATGTACAAAAAAGCTTAAAAAGCTTCCTAGTTTGATAATAATATTATTATGCTATATAACAAAAGTTTTCATGAATGTATTAGTATTATACTATGCTATGTGTAAGAACAAGTAGAGCAACTCCCGCCTGTTCTAGGGATGCACGATTTTTTGAATCGTAATGGATCATATGCCTCTGAATCGATTCTCGGATCGGATCGTATGCTCTTAAATCGATGTCTTAAAAATCCTTTTTTAAATTTGTAATAAATAAAACACCTTTATTATATATTAAATCATATATATGCCATAATAACAAGTGCATTTTTTTTCTATTCGCAGCTGCCAATCCTTTACATCTAACTAAACTTTTCAATAGTAATCTCATATAACTTAATGTCCAAAGCATTGTCTTCCTCATTATTTTCCATTTATGTATTTGACGAAATCATTATCATCATTCACAATCATCATTAATAAGATAAGATTTTCTTTAAATGATGAATACTTTGCAGACGATTAGATCGCTTTAATTTTGAACAGATTCGCTAAAACATCGCATAGAATTGAATCGATCTTCATAAAAATCGGATCATTCTGTATGAATCGAATGTGTTCGGCGAATAAATACTACCGGAGCGTAGGGTTGTCACATTATTATTTTAGTTGTACTTGCAGGTTGTAAACATAATTAAAAAAAAGGTGTTTATCACAACATTCTCGTGCTATATTGAAATAACTAGCAATCGGACTTGCGACCTTGATTATGGAGTATGATTATTAAATAGAAATGATATAAGCCTAACACTTATGAATTAAAGGCACTCTTGTTTAAACTACCACAAACACAACAATAAACACGTCTACTATTTAATGTCGTTTTTTGAACACCGTGCTACCGCACCGCTTTGATTTGTTGAGTGCACCGCGATACTATCGGTACACGGCGCGTGGTGGGCGTGCACACATACAAGTCGCGCTGCTGCTTTTGTCCAAAGTTATCATACTTGTCTTATTATAGTACGTACCTAATATTTCCATTGTTGCCGCTTCCATATACGTAGATCGTTAATTAACCGACTTCAAAAAAGGAGGAGGTTCTCAATTCGACTGTATGTTCTTTTTTTTGTATGTATGTTACGCGATAACTCCGGTATTTGTGAACCGATTTTCATGATTCTTTTGTTGTTGGAAAGGGGGTACTTCCATAGTGGACCCATTTTAGTTTGAAGAAAATCATCTACCTCTAAGGGTAGCTGTTCACGCATGAAGACTCATTTTTATAAATAGGCCTAACTTTAATTTAGGAGCAATTATTTTAATCGTTGATTTTGCTACTTCTCCAATTCAAGGCGTTTTTCTCTCAATATATTTTGAGTAGTGAGAACCGATTTTTATTATGTCCAGTGTCAAGTCCTGTATAGTGACGAACTAGGGGATATTTCAATAAAACTTAGCAAATAGACGTAATTCCACGTACTTTTGAGGTCGATTTTTTAGTACTCTGCACTGAGATTATTTAAGTTAAAGGTTTCGCATTAAATTGCTGTCGGTTTTAACAAATGTTCAACGTTTAAATTTGTAATGTTTTGTATACAGAACGGTAGCAGAAGCTCTGAAACGAGGGGAAAGAGTCCAGGCTGAAAGTTTCGACTGCGTTACAGTCTACTTTAGCGATATTGTCGGCTTTACCAGAATGGCTGCTACCAATACACCAATGCAGGTATGTATATTTTTTCTTTAATCTTTTAAATTTTTATTAAATGAAACTGTTTTTCCGGATTTAAATCGCGTATATTTGTTTTTTCAAACAAAAACAAATATACGCGATTTAAATCCGGAAAAATAGTTTCATTTCCTATGTGTAACAATCGCGAAAACCTAAGAACTCGATATTTACAATTTTTTCTATTTGTATACATAATTTGTATAAATAATTGGGTTTAAAAAAAAATTAAAAAATGTGTTATATATTATATGTAACAAAGTTTTACAGGGTTGTTTAAACTACGTACAGGTAACAACCTGTACTTCTGGTCATCAGATCTTAGTTAGAAATAACAAAAAAAAGCAAAAGAGTGTATACCGCTCAAATAAATTTGAAAAGAATGTTTATGTACGGGACATAATACAGGAGATAATAAAAATCGATGCTCACTGCTTATAATATATTAAGGAAGAAGAGAACGCCTTATAATTTGAGTACAGCAAAATAAGATATAATTGAAATAATTTCTCGTTACAAAATTTAGGCGCTATTTTTTAATGAAGGAAGTTTTCGTGCATGAACTTTCTGCCGGCCGTTGAAAGCCAAACTAGTGATATTCGCTTCAGGAAGTGGACAAATTTTTAAGAAATCTTCTTACAATTTCTGTAGCAGTTTTGATGTCGGCCACTCTATTGACGCCATCAATGTCAGGAAATACAGTCATAAGTCGACTCAGTTTTCATTTTAACGGTGGTAGATCGTCTCCCTGAGACATAAAGTTATCCACTCCTCAAAACCGGAACGCAGTAATGTGCTGTAAAGACTATTATTATCACTGTCCCGACTGGCCCTAATCATTTACTGCGTCGACCGCTACCAACGACGTAGCTATACGTGACACGACTTTATTACTCCACAAAGTCGGCGGATATGATGTAGTACATACGTACGGGTGAAAATCAATGCTGCTCTAAGGGTCGAACAGTTGGAGTCCCGCCACAATGTGAATTTTAAATAACTTGTCGTGAGAGTACATAAAGGAGGACTTTTGACCGAAGGGTGCCATGTACCGGCGTTTCGTTGGTATTAGCATTATTCCGACATATGTATAAATGTCAGAATAATGTGAAGTGGATATAGTTATGTATTAGAGATGTTATATATCGTATGTATATTTTATATTGTGTGTAAATAATGTATCTTAGTTATTTATAAATTTTTATTTGTCATGTTATGCACCCCTATTATTTAATCTGAATTCAGGTCTCAGGTTGATTGGTAGAGAACGCCTAATGGCATTAAGTCTGCCATTTGTACTACTTAGTGTGCAATAAAGTTTAAATAAAAAAGAAATAAATGTGAGCATTACTGCGTTTCGGTCTTTTATTGATAATCAAGGCACTTCTTAATTGTTTCTGTGTTTATTTCGCAGGTTGTGGAGATACTGAACGACCTCTACACGTGCTGCGACGCCATAATATCATACTATAACGTATATAAGGTAAATTATTGCTTAATTGTGTAATTGAATCTAGTCTGGTTAAGATTAATTATTTATGTAATTAATTATCAAATGTTCACATAGAATATTTTAAATTTGTTAAACCTGTTCTCAGGACAACGAAAACTTGATATTTACGTACGTAGGTACGTAAGGAAACGTAACAATTTACGGAACTCTCTATATTTAAAGAAAAAAATGGGAACACTATATTTCTGCCATCCGTTAACTAAATATGGCTATGTGAGAAAAATATTTTTTTAAGATATAAAAAATCATAACGCAGTTTTCGAATATTGAAATTGTTTGATAATTTTTTAGCTATGTACCATTAGGGTATGTTGCGATATGTCGGAAGATTTAACTAACTTGAAATGTTTTTAAATTTTGAACTCTACCGTTTGCTTTTAAAACGGATATAACAAATATCGTTCACTTGTCACTTAACAGCGTTTTAATTAGTGGACGACAGATTTCAAATCAATAGTATATTTCAACCAAAGTTCCATAAATTGATGGCAAAGGAATGTGTAGATCTATGGTAAATACCACTATAAACACCACTGTGAGAACAACAAAGGGAACGTTAAAATAACTATGAATATCGCACTTCCAGAGAAGGGTCCTTTAACAGAATCTTTTTGAAAATTTATTATACTTTTTTTTCTTTATCATACGAATGAACCAATTTTGACAGTGTCCTCCGTGTTAGTCTCTGAAACATATTTTTCATACTCTTCGACAGTCTCTTCAGGTGATGAAAATCGTTGACCGCGTAACTAGTTCTTAATTTTTGGAAATAATGTGCCAGGTCGGGACTGTACGCGGGAAGGCTCATAAGGTCAACGTTGTTCACCTTCAAAAATTCATTTGTCTGTTTGCCGAGTGAGAACTGGCATTGTGCATCGTGGTGCAAGACGATACGATTTACGGTTATTTTTACGTAGTTTGTCAATAACTTCCGGCAAACAAATGGTCGTGTACTAATCACTATTCACGGTACAACGATTCTCCAAAGCAACAGTAGCCACGTGTCCAGTTTTATTAAAAAAGACGCAATCATCCGCTTAGAGGCATTTTGCACGCACGCAACTTTGTTTGTGTTAATGACCATCACGAAATTCGTCACTGAAATTCACAAGACCGCGTTCCGTTCCGTTTTTTAAGCCTCAGTCAAATTGTGCGGGATCCATCGACAGCACAGCTTTTTCACACCCAAATATTTGTGTAGTATTGATTGTATTTGACTCATGCCTATGCCTGAAGATCTAATTTCGTGATATGTCACATGCCTGTCTGTTTTGATCATACGGCGCACAGCATCGATGTTTTTGTTGTTTACAGTTTGTCAGTGAGTCACTGAGATTCACACGACTGCGTTTGAATTCTGCAAACCAGCTGTAAATAGTCGTCTTGCATGGTGCTTCATCGCCAAAAACAGTTTGAAGCCGAGCGAAGCTCCACTGAGCTGTTAAATTACACTTAAACTCGTAGAAAATTATACTACGAAAATTTTCACGAGTTAAATGCATGGTGATGCAGAGAACCAATTTCTAAAATGACTCCACAGTGTAAAAACCAGTACCATTTTCAAATGTTCTAATTACTTTTTAAGTATTGTTTATGTAAGTGGCCAGTTCCGGAAACTTATAGTGCCCCCTATGTATCCTATGGGAGGTTACTGTACGTGTAAAGGAGCTATTTTGCGGCGTGGAAGATCTAGTGACAAAGATAGAGACGAGAAAACTTAGGTAGTTAAGAAATATAGAGAGAACGGATCAAAAATTGACGAAACAGATTTATAAGACCAAGGTCCAACGTCCCGTGATATTTAGTAGTAACTTCTACTACTAAATATTACGGGACGTCTTACAAAAAGTCCAGGGTCCCAAGTTTGCTAACTTTAAGTCATCTCAGTTGTGTGTCGGTAGAGTGTCAATGGTAGGATTTTGTACGTTTGGTATTCTGCTAAAAACATCGAGTATATAACCAGAAATAGAAACGTGTGAGATAAATGTCATTTAATTTGTTTGGAAACTATTCTGCCAAACATTCCTGTGACGTCTGTGCTCCTTTTGGTCTGTCCGAATTCGAAACAATTGACGGGTGTCGTCAATTGTTTCACTTCAAATCGACCAGTTTACTTGAGCTTTGCTATAATGGACGAAAATGGCAATAATATTTTATTATTGATGAAATGTGATTCCGTTTGTTTTGTAATTAGATGTCTTGCTGTTTTTCCCACACCACTGAATGGAACAGCCCCTATTGTTCATCATCATTATTCATTTATTATAATACAATGTACAATTGTGTTTGAATGTCAACTTATATAATAAAACGTAATAATTTACAACATTGTTAAATAATTAATTTAAAATTCTTCAACTGTGTAGCAGTACTTTTCCAACAATAAAGATCTCAATTTTTGTTTGACTATGTTTATGTCGTTTATAATTATAAGGCCCATGTGTAATGAATTAAACAATTTCACAGACTGATACTGGGGACAGTTCGTCACAATGTTATACTTGGGATCGATAACATTTTTTAAATTTTCCTCATAGTATTTCCCCGTTCACTTTGCTCTACATTTGACTGTTAAGTTCCTTCTCCTTTTTAAAAGTCCCGTCAGCAATACTAAGATATATAGGCTTGGTACCGTGAGTATATCTAACTACCTGAAATGTTGCTGACATGACTCCCAAGGTAGAACCCGTACTATAGTGCGAATGGCCCTTTTTTGCAAAGCAAAAGCGTCCTCTGCATTACATTTATAACTATTACCCCATAATGCAATGCTGTAACGAAGTTTAGATTCAATCAAAGCGTGATAGACCGACTTTAATTGTTTTCTAGTAAGTATGTCTATCAAACTACGTAGGGCATAACAGGCAGAACTAATAGAGTTCTCCAAATATGTGAGCTCACGTTTCCAATTTACAATATTATTTATATGAATGCCAAGAAACTTTATTACTCTTTAATTTCTATATATCTACCATTCAATTGAACATCCAAAGTATCTCCATTTCGTGCAGTGGTTTTAAATAGTAGAATATTCGTTTTCGATGGATTTATTTGTAATGCATTAATAATACTGAACCAGTTATCAAAAGCAGTAAGTATGTTATTTACGTAGTTATTGAATTGGTTGTTATCTTTGCAAGATATAATTGCGTTTGTTTCGTTAGCAAAATTTATTATAGATAGTCTTATACTAGCGTCAAATTTATATATATAATTTATGAGGTCATTTATGAATATCACAAAAAATACTGGTCCTAATATTGACCCCTGAGGGATTCCCCTCGTGACTTTTACATTTTTTGATTTTTTGGACTCTAACATTACCATCAGAAGCAAAGTCTTTTATTTCTATAAATTGTTTGCGGTTGCATAAATAAGACTTCAAACGACCAAGATTATTATATCTAACTCCATAGTGATGCAATTTAGCAATTAATAAATCGTGGTCCACTAAGTCAAAAGCTACACTTAAATCAAGGAAAAGGCTACTTTCTGCTTATTGTTGATTTCTCGCATTTTATCACCAATTAAAGTGTCAATAGCGTCACTACTCCCGATACCATCACGATAACCAAATTGTCTAGATTGCAGTACTGAGTATCGAGTTAGATGTGAAACCAGCCGAAACTTGATTATCTTTTCAAATTTTTTTGAAAGACTTGGAAGGCGAGAGATTGGTCTAAAATTCTTAGGATCTGTTTAGAGCCTTTCTTATGCACCAGCATTATTTTAGCTAGCTTTAATTGTCCAGGAAAAACATTAGAATTAGAGGTATTATCTTAATTACAGACGTATACACATGTCAGTTGTTGGCGCTGTTCTGATTTCAGCTTTCTAATTTGCGATTGCAATGCAAACGGGAATTGATATTTAAAAGTTATATAAGGCCCATTCGCCTGATGAGTTGTCAGGGATGGATGGCCCTCATTTTGTCTCTATTTCTGGTTATAAACTCGATGGCTAAAAGTTAATATTACAGGCTTGTCAGTGAATAGTCATCGAGCTTTTATCCAACTGCCATTGCAATGTTATGGTATTCTGCTCTTCAATAGCGAGTCGGTGTCACATCGATGACGTAGTCTACTAATATTATATCATATTTTTTATTTAAAGACGAAATTGCTGATTAAATGAAGTAACAATCAGATAGGCATTGTAGTTTTCGTGGTAGTTTTAGTAAGGCAATATCGATCATTAGTGGTAGAATGAATGATTTTGTAATTGCCGGTGGTACCACAAAAGAACTTTTCTGTATTGTCTCGAGTCTGTGTGTTTGTGGTACCGTCGTTGTTTCTGATTTCCATAACATATACGCACCCCTCATGGAAGAATGACAAAAGTGGAGTTACGTCAAAAACGTCTCCAATTCTTGTAACTCTATCGACTAATATTGCAGATAGAGTTACAAGAATTGGATAGGATATGGGTTATATATTTCTGTATCTAATGGAGCAATAAATGTTTAACGTAACTCCACTCATGCCATCCCAAAGTAAGTAAAGTAAAGCACTTACAGATCATATCGACGTTGCTCTACGTTCTACATTGTTCTACGTTGCTGCATCACACACGTATGTGATGTCATCTAATACTTAATATTTAACCGCTCTCTATAAAATAGCGTTGTGGTTTAAAAGATAGAAAGGAAGCCTTCACGTTTATTTTAAAAGAGAACATCTTACAAGATCTAAAAATATCTTTACATTTGCGAGACAAGATGAGAAAATGCTTTGGAAAATTTATTAAAAAGACTATTCACGTATGCAAAGGAATTTTTCCCTGCTCTATTTGCAAAGACATATGCGGGGTGGGTGAAAGCAATTTATCTAAGTATGAAATAAAAGACGATAATGGCCACTTTTTTTTTTCAGTATAATCTCTTTCAAGGCAAATGCACTTATTACAGTACCGGCACGTTATGATGGCCGTTTTGACAGATTACCATAGTGAGGTCAAATCTCAATTCGTTA